AATTATGTTTTTATGTTTTAGGTATGTTTCTGAAGGTGTCCTGTATTTCACATATTTTAAAAAGCCACTGCATGTAAAAGTAGAGTCCATTTTTATTAATCTTTGGATCAGTTTATCAAAATTTAAATGGATGAATAAGAATTGAGACCTTTCTTTTCAGGAACTCCCAGTCAAGTATGGGACATGAACATGAAAACAGACAATTGAAGTATATTGTGATAAATAGAGTAGTGCAAATGTACCAAGTGCTGGGTATCCGAGGAGACAGCTAGCTGTGTTTATGCAGTCTAAACATGGCCTCCCAGAAGGCACTGGCCTTGAATCTAGAGACGCACTCTGACATTCTAGAAACACCATGAATTTTAAAGTTAGCCCTGAGTTTGAATTAGCACTGATACTGTCACCTGTTGTCATTTGTCACATTACTTAATTTCTGTAAGCCTCAGTTTTTTCAATTATATAGAATATACCTGATATTTGAGGGGGGGGGCTTGATTTTAAAGACTAGAAGTAAATTATCATAGTATCTTAAAATTGCAAGTGTTCCTACAAATGGATATTGGTTGCTTTATTGTTTTCATTAGTATTATGTTAATTATTTTCATAATTATCATTGTTGTTGGAAATCAGAATCAGCCCAGAGCAGGGTATGTTAAAGGGATATATACTAAGTAAGCAAGGATGCCATAGCAAAAGAGGCCTAATAAATTAGAAGAATAAGGAAAGGGTGTGGTGCTAGTAGTGAAAAACCCACCTGCAGGAGACACGAGAGACACTGGTTCGATCCCCTCATCGGGAAGATCCCTGGAAGAGGAAATGGCAACCCCCTCCAGTATTCTTTCCTGGAGAACCCCATGGGCAGAGGAGCCTGGTGGGCTGCAGTTCACGGGGCTGCAAAGAATCAGACATGATCAAACTGACCCAGTAGAGCACATCTGAACTTTTTAAAAATTATTAAGGCATAACCTACACATAGTTAATTGCACAATGTTTTGAATTTTTAGTTATGTATCTACTCCAGCCTTCTTGCCTGGAGAACCCCCAGAAGAATCTGGCAGGCTACAATACAAGGGGTCACAAAGGGTTGGATGTGACCGAGCAGCCAAGCACAGCACAGCACACAGCTACATGTGTCACCATTCCCCAGGCCTTCTCAGGACTGGAGAACCCCCGGAGGAATCTGGCAGGCTACAATATAAGGGGTCACAGAGAGCTGGATGTGACCGAGAAGCTGAGCACAGCTCAGCACACAGCCACATGTGTCACTGCTCCCCAGACCCCAGGCCTTCTCAGGTCTGGAGAACCCCCAGAGGAATCTGGCAGGCTACAATACAAGGGGTCACAGAGAGCTGGATGTGACCGAGCAGCTCAGCACACAGCCACATATGTCGCCACTGCCCAGACCCCAGACCGTCTCAGGTCCCAGCCCGCCCCGGTCAGTCTCCCCTACAGCAGGAATAAACTGTTCTTCCAGCCTCTGCCACCACAGGTTAGGTCTGCTAGTTGTCGTTGTTTAATCTGCTGAGTCGTGGCCGACTCCTGTGACCCCATGGACCGTAGCCCATCAGGCTTCTCTGCCCATGGTGTTTTCCAAGTAAGAGTACTAGAGTGGGTTGCCATTTCCTTCTCCTGCTAGTTCCTGATCTTTGTATAAATGGAATTATATGGTATGTGGGGTTTTTTCGATGGCAAGAGGTGGCTTTTTTCACTCAGTATTCTGTTTGTTGTTTTGTGTAGTATAGTAATTGGTTCTTTTTCATTGATGTTTATCATTCCATTGTGTGACTATAGCATAAGGTATTCATTTATTCTACTATTAATAGTCATTTGAGTTGGCTTCAGATTTTGCTATTATGAATAAAACTGCTGTGAACATTTTGTACCTGTCTTTTAATCACCATGTAACACACTCATCTCTGTTTGGTACATCTAGGATCAGACTTGTTCTGTTTTAGAATATGAGTACTTTCAACTTTAGTAGATACTGTCAAATAGCTTTCCAAAGTGACTATGCCATTCCCACCAGTAGTGAATAGAGTTCCAGTTGTGCCATAGTCTTACCTGTATTTGGATGGTCCTAGTCCTTTTAATCTTAGCCATTTGGATGTGGATGTAGGTTTTTATCTTGTGGTAGCAGTGAGGAGGACAGTAGGAAGAGAATTTACTGCCTGATACCACTAATGAGCAAACTTAGTAAAAGTCATGAACTGTAACTGTTCTGCACTTTACTGATAATGGTCAATAATTACTGTGTGCTGTGTGCTATGCTTAGTCGCTCCAATCATGTCCAACTCTTTGTGACCCTGTGGACTCTAGCCCACCAGCCCCCTCTGTCTGTGGGATTCTCCAGGCAAGAATATTGGAGTGGATTGCCATGCCCTCCTTAGAGGATCTCCCGACCCAGGGATCGAACCTAGATCTCTTACATCTCCTGCATTGCAGGTGGATTCTTTACTGCTGAGCCAGGAGGGAACCCATGCATTTTATTGATAACGGTCAATAATGTATTGTAGGCTTCAGGATTTTATTTATAAATATCACAATAAAAAAGTTAAGGAGTGATTTTAAAGTAATGTTAGATCCCCACACATGGAAACTAAATAAAACTCTAATAAATATTTTGGCTGAGCCCTTTTTAGCTTCTAATAAATACAGTACTTTCATGATTGACATTTTAAAATAAAGATTACTTTGCACATTTTTAGGGAGCCATGTTTATCCAGTCTAAAGAAAATGTCCTTCATATGATGCATTTTGCTTTGCTTACCTTGTAATTATCCTTGAAAGCATAGTGTACAGCATGCCAGTACCTTCCTTTTTAAGGCTCTTGTACATTTTGGGCTATAGTCCATAGGGTTGCAAAGAGTCGGACACAACTGAATCGACTTAGCATATATGCACGCATTTGGTCATTGCATTTTATAGTAATCATCTGCTTATTTGCACTTAGCTGAAACTCAGAGTATTTGACCAGACTTAGCCTTTTTCTTTATCTGTTATAATTTTAAATAATGTGGAAGTCATCAGGGTAACCTTTTAAAATAACGATTTCCAAGTTTAAGGTATAGAAAATCTTTTAAAATGATATTCATTTTATTGGTCTGACATAATATACAACCTAGGTTTATGAGTGACCTCTTTTTTTTGTTTTCTTTGGATTTTTATTTAGTTTAGTCTTATTTTTGGGTGTCCTTTTCCAATATTTGAAACTTTCTGCAAGACATAGTTGCATGTTCAGAAAAGGTCTATTCACATTTATAACTTTGTTTTAATTTCCTGTTGTGTTGTTAAAATAATATGTGAATATAGATACAGTGAAGTAGCCATTTTATTAGTTTAATAAATGCATTGATATAGATTTATCTGAAACCAAAACCACACTGGAGAAATTGAAGTAATAGTCTTGTTCTTATGAAGATAAAGAAAGACATCATCTTTTTTCCATTCATAATTATATTTTTAGAAAATCTTTGTTCTTTTATATATATATTTAGAAGATTTTTGAAATAATGAATAATTTCCCATGTTTATTACTCTGAATAAATATTTTTAAGAATTTTTAAGCTGAATTATGTATCTTTGATTTGCTTTACACCAAAGTTTCAAATTCTGCTAAGTTTCACTTAAAATTCCATGTTAGATTTAATAAGATTTTTTTCCCGCCCTCAATTTTAAAATTGCCTGATCTTGCTCCTTAACAAAGATGGAAAAAGAAACAAAAAGATTTCTTTTTCGTATTACCCCCCCCAAAAATAATTGGCAAAATCACTGAATTAAGAAAATAGAATGGATTTGTGTTAGCTAATATAAATCAAATACAGAATAAATGGTCTCATTGATAAGTTAGAAATGATTTTTAAATGCTTCAGGTGCTGATACTGTTGGTAGCTTTTTAAGCACTGCTCTATGAATGATTATTTATACATTTTTATATAGGCTTTATTGGACTCAGAACACGTGGTTGTAGAGAAGACAATGCTAGTTGTGCACAAAAGTAGAAAGAGCTTCATTAAAATGGGTGCTGCTCCTCTTACGACGGCCACACAGATCTCAGCATTAGCATTTCTCTGATTGTGCCCATGCAGCACTAACTTGTTAACTGCTTTTGGCATAGTGCTATATTGGCTTCCCTGGTGGCTAGGATGGTCAAGAATCTGCCTGCAGTGCAGGAGATCTGGGTTCGATACCTGGGTCTGGAAGGTCCCCTGGAGAAGGGAATGGCAGCCCACTCCAGTATTCTTGCCTGGAGAATTCCATGAGGAGCCTGGCAGGCTATAGTCCATGGGGTCTCAGAGAGTTGGACACCACTGAGTGACTAGCACATATACATAGTGCTGTGTTAATGTTACATGAAGGAAAGATGTGTGCATGCATCCCAGTGCACTCATATTTTATACTCATCCTTTTAGAATTTATATAACAGTAGTCAGTGTCAATAATAATATTAAGGGTCAATGTTAATTGAATATATACTGTTTGCAAATGCTATGCTAATTGCTTCCTCATTTAATTCTCACAGTAAGCACATTATTAGATTGTTTTTAAAGTCTGTCCCTCAGTGCAGATTCATTTCCCTAGTCTTCTTTTATCACCAATTCCGGAGTTGTTTTCCAGTTTGACAAGGGGTATGAAAAGTATGTTGGGTTGGTTCTTTTGTTAGAAAACAGCTAACTGAAATAAACATTCCATTGAGTACTGAATTCATTCCAGTTGAATAAGCAGAGAAAAGAGGTATGTATCTTATGTTGGTGGGTTCAGGGAAGGACATCAGTGCCTCTGTAAGCCTTGATTTATTCTAAAGAATTACTAGAGATGAAACCTTAGTAGTCTTTAAACTATAATAGTTTAAAACTGTATGTTGAATCTAGGCTTCTTGCACTGATATACATCAAATATTGTATAATGTATATTTGAAATTGAATAACTTATGTGTATTTGCTTTTTATTGCCTGTATATGTTCAAATGTGGTAATACTGAAATAATGACTATGTTTTTAAAGGTTTTGAAAGAGGAAAGGAAGACATTTCTCAAAATAGAGATGACTCTTCACTTTCTATGTCAAAGAGCAAGGTAAGCATATTGTCCTCAAGTATGTGATCTTAATATTTTTCTAATATTTAAGATGAGTGAACTAACACCAAAATCTTATCAGATTTTTACGGGCTGTGTTTATGTTGGTATATCTAAACCAGGTAGTATTTATGAGAAAAGGAGCATTCCCCTGGGGCCGATTTAGGTGCGTTGGTTATTTGGAAATACAGCCGATTGGTAACCAGGGTTCTCTCCTGAGTGATACTGTTTGATGTGTCTGCTGCAGCAGCACATCTCAGACTTAAGTCTGAGGCTTCCATCTGGAGAGACTGTCAGGTTCATTTTTTTAAAGTTTTAAGTGTTTTGGGTTCATTCAAATGACTATCAAAAACATGTACATTTTAACAGTTGAAGACCAACTATCTTTTGCTATAGAAGCATGCAACTGAAGACAGTTTCTTAGAATAAGACAGAGTTCCCTAAATTAGTAATTTTCAAATTGGGTACTTGAATATATTCTTAGGTCTGTTGAGAATTTTTTCTCTAAGAGTACTATTCAAATTTGAGAAGTACTGGATAATGCATAGGCTTTCCTATGGGTTTTGTAATTCACTAGGTTTTCTATAATTTGTCGATGGATTTGACTTTGGACTTATTTCTGGTCAGGTTTAGTAGCAGAAGAAGCTTTTATGTTTATGGAATCAAACTTCAATGATTGTAAGAAAATCTTTCTTAAGCTAGTGAGTTCTCTGCTGTTCTTAGAATAGGCTTTGCTTGTAAAATTGGACATTTTTTGTTCTATTCTTGAGAGTGGTTGAGTGAGAGGATTCCATGATGTTTGACACAAATTTTATTCACACTTAACTTTTCATTACATAAAAGTCCATCCTCTATTTAATATGGGTAAAAGTATATAAGGTGAGAGTTTAGTGTCATACTTTGTATGTATAAAATACAAAGAGAAATACATGAGAAATACCTTTATCATTTCATATGAGATGTGTGATTAACAAGGAGATAGTTTATCTTGGTTCTGCCATGGTTAGAAATGCAGTGAAATTTATGGAATTTTAAAAACCTATTTCAAGCAGTTAATACCAGCGTTGGTGAACGTATGTTATGTTGGTATTCCTACTCAGAAACCTAAACTCCAGACCTACCTACCACAGCCGCCTAGTCTCGAAACAGGAGAATGAGAGGAGGAGCAGAAGGGGTCGGGAGGACAGGGAGCCTGGAGAGGAAAGCAGTGCGGATTAATGAAAAATAAGGAAACTAGACTGCACCTTGAGTATAATAGCACCGAATTGTATATGAACTTTAAATTAGAAATTTGGTTCCTCAGTTGCACAAGCCACATCTCAATAACTCATTAACCATATGTGGCTGGTGGCTACCATATTGAACCACTCAGATATAGAATATTTCTGTTATTCAGAAAGTTCTACTGGACACCAAGCCCGAGCTACTTTAAGGTAAAAAAAAAGTGAGTTTGAATCTTGATTCTTATATATTGCCTATGACTTCTTAGATGCTGATTACAATGATATTAATAACTAGTTTGTATTAAGAGCTTGCTAAGTGTCATTTTAACTCTCTTAACCATACTAGAAGACAGGTATTATTGGCCCCATGTTATAAATGAAGCTTAGAGAAGTTAGATAGCTCTCCAAGGGTCAAAGTGTTAGAGCTGGAATTCACAGTGGCTTCAGTTTTCTTCTCTGTACAAAGGAGATAAAATCTAACTCACATTGTGATGCTGTAAGGGCCTGACAAAGTACCTGGTTAATAATAGGTGTTCGAGAACTCATTTTTCTTCCTTTGAATAAAGAACTACAGTGAATGAATGGGCTGCTTGGTGTGGCAGCTATTTAGTGTAAGTAAAATTGTACTCGTTCTGTTATTTTCCAAGAGCTGAATCTTATTGATTCTTAATCTGAGTTTATTCTGTTAGCTTAAGAGATACAGTCACTAGCTTGTCCTTAAATAGTTTAACATATATTCTGCTGTGTTACTTTTCAGAAGAATCCTAAAATTTATGCACTTATATCAAGCCTTATTCTCATGGAATTATGAAGATTTTGTTGTTACCTAAGAAACTTTGGAAAACAAAATCTTGTTATTCCTTCTATGATTGATCTGTATAACTGAGGCCATTAAATAATTTTAACTTATGCTTTTATGAATTTGATGCAAAAAGTATCAATACTGTCATTTAGGTCATTGAGTTTGCAGTTAAGTGTTATTTCTTAAAAATACATAATTGAGACCAGTAGGCACAATCCTTCTTTACCTCAGCCCCCACCATTTTAGAAATAAAAGCAGTTCCTGTGTCTTATGCATCCTGTAAATGAGTGAATTGAAGAATACAGTTAATCAGATCATCTCATCTTCCTTTTAGCATTTTTAAATAAATTTTTAATTGTCTCTCTCAATGAAAGGAATTGCCAGCATAAATAATATTTCTAGTGAGATAAAAGGAATCCTATTACATGGATAAGGAGTTTCTGAGATGAGATCTCTTGACTTGATTCTCCAGTCATCAGCCTCCTTGCCTGTAGGTTTGCTAAGTCATCTATCACTTGCTGTAAAAAAAAAAATATGTTTACTTGGACATTAAAAAAAAAAAAACCTTTCCAAATCAAAATATCTGATAGAATCATAGTAACATCATGGTTGCTATTATTCCTTATGTCTGCAGTATTTTAGTTTTCAAAGCAAGTCAAAAGTATTCTAGTTATGTTAATGTTCCATTTATCTGGAGATTATATTTTTGTGAACACTTGCAATCTAGGAGATAGTCACAAATCTGAAGCACAATATATATCAAGTACTGTGTTAAACACATCATGCACACTGCCTCATTACCCAAAGCAGCCCTGTCAGTTAGTAGGAATATCCTTATTTTATAAATAAGACAATGAAGACTGGAAGAGAATATCTTCCCATAGTCACACAGCCCATAAGGTGTCATCATTAAGACAGTGGTCAGTAAGGTTATCAAAGAAGGACACTTAGTTTAATAAAATATTTCCAATAAAAACAGTTTATGATTCTTGATATTTAAAAGGTAACTTGTTGATTCATGAGACTTAGTATTATGTTAAAAAGAATATAGAACTTGGTCACTGGATTTCTTTTCTTTCCCCAAAACTAGCTACACTGTATGGCGGGATTTCTTTTTTTTTTGGGGGGGGGTGGGATTTCTTGAAGTATGCACTGTAATTTAGCAAGCTCTTGTTATAGCCATTTGGCCAACTGGTCCCTTAGATACCAGAATCATTTAGGAACCTCCAAGCCAATCTTGTCATGTCTAGGGAAATAGATTTCCTGTTGTTCATAAAGATAAGTCTTAAATCTGAGTCTAAGATTCTATATGAATAGTGGTAAAAAGATGAGCAATGAATGTGGTGAGAGGGCTAAGAGCACGAGACCGAGGACGAGGCACACCGGAGTGAAATCCCAGCTCATCTGTTTACGGCTCTGTGACTTTGGAAAGTTATTTAATCTGTCGGTCTTAGTTTCCTGATCAGCAGCAGAAGAAACTACTACTGCCCCATAAGGCGGCTGTGAGGAGTACAAGAGGCAGAACACAGAAAGTACTTATTATAGCACTTGGTAAAGAGTCAAACAACCATTCATTTTCACTGACTTTTAAGTTAATACCATGGAAATTCTTTACTTAATATTATCTAAGAAGTACATTATAATATACATTTTCCTATTAAGCTGTGGGAAATAGGAACTGTTCTATCCCTCTGACAGTAGCTGTGTCATCTCTGAGTTCCCAGCAGCAAGCAGAGGACAGAGACCTGTTTGGCTTGATGACTTTTGTGAGATGGTTTTGATATCACAGTGTATCTTGTCATCATGAAAGTAAGCCATGTGATGTTTCAAGTGCAGTTCTCAAAGGAGTAACTTTAACAAAAATTTAATTAGGTTAATCCCCACCTTCTACATTGAGTGTAGTTTGCAGTTCCCTTCCGGTTCAGCCACTTATTTTACCATCAGCATAATTGTATTTTGTACTAAATAGCAGAGGCATTTTTAAAAGAGATGAACTGCAAATGCTAGTTTCATTTTGATAATTCTGAAGGTGTTCATTGAGCCCTTTCTTTACAGAAGTAAAGCCCTTGCTTTACTTCATTTGTGTCCAACTCTTTGCAACGTTATGGCCCATAGCCTGCAAGGCTCCTCTGTCCCTAGGATCCTCCAGACAAGAATACTGGAGTGACTTGCCATGCCCTTCTCCAGGGGTTCTTCCTGACCCAGGGATCAAACCCAGGTCTCTTAAGTCTCCTGCATTAGCAAGTGGGTTCTTAACCACTAGCGCCACCTGCAAAGCCCAAATTACCCCAGATGATATCTGGCTGCAATTGTTGAATAAGCACAGTCCCTGTATTCATGGATCTTCAAATTGAGTGAGGGACTACTATTCAACATAGTTTTGGAATTTTGGCCACAGCAGTCAGAGCAGAAAAAGAAATAAAAGGAATCCAGATAGGAAAAGAAGAAGTGAAACTCTCACTGTTTGCAGATGACATGATCCTCTACATAGAAAACCCTGAAGACTCTACCAGAAAATTACTAGAGCTAATCAATGAATATAGTAAAGTTGCAGGATATAAAATTAACACACAGAAATCCCTTGCATTATACACTAACAATGAGAAAACAGAAAGAGAAATTAAGGAAACAATACCATTCACCATTGCAACAAAAAGAATAAAATACTTAGGAGTATATCTACCTAAAGAAACAAAAGACCTATACATAGAAAACTATAAAACACTGATGAAAGAATCAAGGAGGACACAAATAGATGGAGAAATATACCGTGTTCATGGACTGGAAGAATCAATATTGTGAAAATGAGTATACTACCCAAAGCAATCTATAGATTCAATGCAATCTCTGTCAAGCTCCCAACGGTCGTATTCACAGAACTGGAACAAATAATTTCACAATTTGTATGGAAATACAAAAAACCTCGAATAGACAAAGCAATCTTGAAAAAGAAGAATGGAACTGGAGGAATCAACCTGCCTGACTTCAGGCTCTACTACAAAGCCACAGTCATCAAGAGAGTATGGTACTAGCACAAAGAGAAATATAGATCAATGGAACAGAATAGAAAGCCCAGAGATAAATCCACTTACCTATGGACACCTTATCTTCTATAAAGGAGACAAGAATGTACAATGGAAAAAAGACAACCTCTTTAACAAGTGGTGCTGGGAAAACTGGTCAACCACCTGTAAAAGAATGAAACTAGAACACTTTCTAACACCATACACAAAAATAAACTCAAAATGGATTAAAGATCTAAATGTAAGACCAGAAACTATAAAACTCCTAGAGGAGAACATAGGCAAAACACTCTCTGACATAAATCACAGCAAGATCCTCTATGACCCACCTCCCAGAATATTGGAAATAAAAGCAAAAATAAATAAATGGGACCTAATGAAACTTAAAAGCTTTTGCACAACAAAGGAAACTATAAGCAAGGTGAAAAGACAGCCTTCAGAATGGGAGAAAATAATAGCAAATGAAGCAACTGACAAAGAATTAATCTCAAAAATATACAAGCAACTCCTGCAGCTCAATTCCAGAAAAATAAATGACCCAATCAAAAAATGGGCCAAATATCTAAATAGACATTTCTCCAAAGAAGACATACAGATAGCTAACAAACACATGAAAAGATGCTCAACATCACTCATTATCAGAGACATGCAAATCAAAACCACAATGAGGTACCATTGCATGCCAATCAGAATGGCTGCTATCCAAAAGTCTACAAGCAATAAATGCTGGAGAGGGTGTGGAGAAAAGGGAACCCTCTTACACTGTTGGTGGGAATGCAAACTAGTACAGCCACTATGGAGAACAGTGTGGAGATTCCTTAAAAAACTGGAAATAGAACTGCCATATGACCCAACAATCCCACTCCTGGGCTTACACACCGAGGAAACCAGAATTGAAAGAGACACATGCACCCCAGTGTTCATCGCAGCACTGTTTATAATAGTCAGGACATGGAAGCAACCTAGATGCCCATCAGCAGACAAATGGATGAGAAAGCTGTGGTACATATACACAATGAAATACTACTCAGCCATTAAAAAGAATACATTTGAACCAGTTCTAATGAGATGGATGAAACTGGAGCCCATTATACAGAGTGAAGTAAGCCAGAAAGATAAAGACCAATACAGTATACTAACGCATATATATGGAATTTAGAAAGATGGTAACGATAATCCTATATGCAAGACAGAAACACAGATGTATAGAACAGACTTTTGGACTCTATGGGAGAAGGTGAGGGTGGGATGATCTGAGAGAACAGCATCGAAACATGTATATCATCAAGGGTGAAACAGATCACCAGTCCAGGTTGGATGCATGAGACAAGTGCTCGGGGCTGGTGCACTGGGATAACCCAGAGGGATGGGATGGGGAGGAAGGTGGGAGTGGGGTTCAGGATGGGGAACACATATAAATCCATGGCTGATTCATGCCAATGTATGGCAGAAGCCACTACAATATTGTAAAGTAATTAGCCTCCAACTAATAAAAATAAATGAAAAAAAATTATTTAAAAAAACTGAGTGAGGGGAGTTTATTTCTCAATGTTCTTCCTCCTTGATCACATCTAATGATATTATGCAGATCTGGCTATTTTAAACACTTGAAAGCTACCATTTAAATCAAGTCCTGTATACTTTCTTGGCCCTAGGAGTAATGCTGTGAACTTGAAGTACCTTCTCCCATGTCTAACAATAGATAAAAATGAAATTCATAGGACAGTGAAGGAATATGTTCGATTTTATTGTTCCAGTATTTATAGAGGCAGCTTTTAGTTTTATAGTCTTCTACTCTGGTGGAAGAAAGTAGTCTCTTTGAAAGAGGACTGGATTAAGAGCACTAGGTTCTGATCCCTGCTATTGATTGATTATTTAGAAAATCAATGTCTATGAACCTCCCTTTCATGATTTGTAAAATGGAGATAAAACCACTTGTTATGCCTGTTTTTCAAGATTCTTATAAGGATCAAATTGAAATATCAAGTATAAGCAAAATCAGGAAACAAGTTTGAGAAATTAATATTTATTTTTGAGGCACTGGATAGTTAGGAAGAGGTGCTGGGGTTACTGTTTTTTAAACACTATACAAATTAGGGTATTTCAGTACTAGTTTCTGAAGATGTTTGTATTTACTCCCTTTGGAGAAGCAGTAGTAACAGGGCAGTGTTTGCAGCAATTTGCTTGTTTTTTGGTTTTTAGAATATTTCAGTCGAATAATTACTGCTTTGGATATGTTTGTCCTAAGAATTATTTTGTATAAAATAATTATATTCTTTAGAAGTACTCTGAAAAACAGAATGCAGAGATTTTCAAATGATCTTGTTTAACCTTACTTTGTATGCTGATTTATTGACGTTTTTATTTTTGTGTTTCTGTGGCTTTAATGTGGGTTAGTTTTCAAACCCAAATACTGTATAAGAAAAATCAGTATTTGAAAATTGGTATTTGCCTAAAATCAGAGTAATGAATGGGAGGAAGGTCACAAACACAGTTGGAACCTCAGTTTTATGTGCTGTGTGTATGTGGAGAGTAAGTGACAGTTTTAACTATTATTTCTCTTTTCTTCATGTCTGTGTGGTTTCAGTCTGAATCTAAACTTTATAATGGCTCAGAGAAAGACAGTTCAGCTTCAAGCAAGCTTACAAAAAAGGAATCTCTCAAGGTTAGTTTCCACACGTATTTTATAACTAATGTTTCGCTTTACCTATGCTTTTGAAAGTAGACTAGTAAGATAAAGAAGTATTTGTGGTCCTAAAGGAAAAAAAAAGTTAATGTTTGCATGGCACCCTGGAGTCAGCTAAAAGGGCTTTCTGATGCCCGTCCCAGCGCTGCTCTGCCCTCAGCTGGGACGGGGGCTGAGGACTGGGTGTCTCTGCACAGTTGTGCCTGAGTCCAGCACATCACTGTGTTACGGAACGCCTGATGGGGAGTACTGACTGCTAGGTCATGGGCTGAATTTGGTCCACAGGTAGACACATTTTATTTGACCTACACAATGTTTTAAAAATTTTAGCCAACAATTACAGGTCCAGGTTTCTAGCTTTCCTTAAGAAATAGGTAATACTGGGCTTGCCTTCCAGAATGGCCACAGGCCCTGGAGCTTAAGGAGCTTTCTCATTGATTCCTGATTCCCATGCAGTCTGTTCTGCCACCTCCGCCTCTTTTCCATATCTGATCCCATATGCATTTATATTTACAATCATGTATTAAATCTGTTAGTTCACTTATGCACATTAATAAAGACCAAAGTCTAAATTTTTTTGATTCTATAATTATTAAAATTTTGTTGTGTGTATGTAGTCTCTTTACCATTAAGTGCAACTAGGGAAATTCTGTGTTTTACTTTAAGAAAAATCACTGATAGGTTATCTTCTTCTGTTCATAAGCAACACAAAGTAATAAATAATAAAATTGCTCCACTTCTGCTTTCCCAGATTATCTCAGAAGTGACTTAGGAAGGGTAAAACTTTGATAATTTGAATGTATTAATTTCACTGTTGTGGTTTCTTAATTATTTGTATCTTATGTATTAGTGTCAGGAAAGAGAGCAAGATTGCCAGTCCTGAATAGGTATAGCATTGTCTGTGGTATGAGAAACTGACAGCAGAGTAGGCCACCGTCAGTGAGAGAGTGTGTTAAGCAAACTTGGAGAAGCGGTGCAGCGTGGCAGCTCAGGCCTGGCTTTTGGAGCCGGTCTGCCTCCGTCTGAATCCCGCTCCACGACTGACTCAGCTGCGTGATACTGAGCAGTTTGCTCTCTCGGTATCTCGGTTTCCCATCTGTGGAAAAAGGATAATTACAGTCCTACTGCCCGAGGTTGTTGTGAGTATTAATGCGGTAACACATGTGAAGTGCTTACGGTAGTGACTGGCACACAGATGTCCAGTAAATGTTACCTCTTATTGTGCCAGTCATAGTGAGAATCCTTTGGAGCAGTTAAAAGAATGAAGTAGGCAAGGAATGGAAATAGAGTTGAAATACTCCAAGAAATATCAGAGAACCTTTTTTTATGTGTTAGAAAAAGCAAAAGCAAACACAAAAGTTATGTATTTGAAAATACCTGAGTGCATAGTGTTTCCTGAATGTTATAGTGTTTTCCTGAAGGTTAACAGAGATCAGTTCTGGGGATCAGAATAGGAGAGAGTATATTAAAAATGGCTTTTAGCTTTTGTTGTTTGAAATTTTTACCATGAATTCATACTCACATATTGTGTAACTTTAAAAAGGTAAAATTCTTAAAAAAAAAATAAAGCTCTTCTGTCCTAAGATGCTAGAATTCTAAAATTTTATTTTACAGTGTAAAATTTTCACATTCCATAAAGTTAAAAACTTGAAAAGAAATTGCCTGTTTCTAAAGAATTTTTTATTTTTCTATTATTTCTGTAAAATAGGTACAAAAGAAGAATTACCGAGAAGAAAAGAAAAGAGCCACAAAGGAGTTGCTCAGTACAATCACAGATCCCTCTGTTATTGTTATGGCTGATTGGTTGAAGGTCAGTTTGTATTGCCTTGAATTCAAATTGCTGGATATTTACCAGCTGGCATAGGAAAGCCCAGAATGCACCTGTCTAAAAGCCTGCGAGACAAAAACAACTCTAGGATGATTTTTTTCACTGACGAAGAAGCCGTTAATTGCATCCCAGAAGATCTGTGTTCCAGTCTTAATGGAGAGAAGGAACCTTAATGTTGGCTCTCTTGACAGTAACATCAATATGGATAGCAGTGCTTTTAAAAAAGCTTTTTGATACATGTGACAGGACATAGTCTAATCAATGTGAAGCGAAGAAATATTCTGTTTGCTGTTCAAATTCTCATTTAGTATGATTGTAGACTTGGTGTCTATACATTTTAGTGAAAATATGAGACAAAGTTAGTGTAAAAGTTGTCATTTGAAAAGCTTTAATTTTCAGAAAAACATACACATTACTATTTCCATATCTTATTCTTTTAGCCTCTGGTTATTCCTACTTATTTTTATTTCCATTTCTATCATCCTAGTCACTATTCTCTGTATCGCTGTTATTTGTAGGATATTTGGTAGGATTTTTTTAGACTAATGCTAACTTTGAGAATGGTCTTGAAAGACCCAGATTCCCAGAAAGTTTCAGTACCCGCTTTCACCTAAAAATCACCCCAGGCCTGAAAAGCTTTTCTCTTTCCCTAAGGATTGGTACAGCCTTCAAACTAAAATCTTGGTGAGATCTGTCATGGAAGTTCTCTTACTAAAACAGGAGTCTAGTGATAGTTTCTGTGATAGTGCAGGTAATACTGAGGTCTTCTTGCATGTTACTCTGAAAACACCTTTGGACTTACATTGGCTCTACTTGCTAAGTCTTTAAGCTCCAGATCTTGGTACTAGGAAAGTATATTTTACACTTGATCTTAGCCAAAAGGCCAAGAAGCGATGGAAAGTATATTTTAATGGCCCCTGACCTGGCCAGGAAGGATAGGATTATTTTGAAACTGTTGATGTGATGCAGTCTCCCACTAGAATTTAAATTCCGTAGAAGTAGCAGTCATGCTGTTTTCACATTTATTTGCAGTGCTGGCTAATTAGTAGCTTAACAAATATACATCTAGTGAATTTAAAGTGTACATTTTTTGAAAATTTTAGATTGAAACACCCTATTTGCCTCTATTCCTTTAGTATCTTGTAAAGCAGAAAAACAGACCTTTATTTCTTAAAATAAACTTATCTTTTTGTAGATTCGTGGTACCTTAAAGAGCTGGACCAAATTGTGGTGTGTGTTGAAACCCGGTGTGCTACTGATCTATAAAACCCAGAAAAATGGTCAGTGGGTAGGAACAGTCCTTCTGAATGCCTGTGAGATCATTGAACGTCCATCAAAAAAGGATGGCTTTTGTTTTAAACTTTTCCATCCTTTGGAGCAGTCTATTTGGGCAGTGAAGGTAAGTAAGCACTTGTTACATAGGTAAAAAGTAAAGATGACAATCTGTAAGTAGAACTGAACTAAATCAGTGAGTGAGTGATTAGTGGTTGCTGTCCTCTGCTAGAACTCTGTTTCTGTCTTCAGTTACATTGTTCCTCGTTCTGTCCCTACCCACAATGGAATGTGCACCAAAGTGCTTAGTTTATTTTACCTTTAAGATCAAACTTAAAAATTTCTCCAGAAAATGTTTCCCAGATTTATGTTGTACCCTATTATCTCTTGTTTGTGGGGATTGTTTGTACTATTTTTTTAGTTTGCAGTTACTAGCTTTGCTTTGTGATATTGTATCTGGTTTACTGTGACTGTTTTTCTCTTGATCAATTTGTCAGATTCCCTAGAATCTAAGCTGCCATTTCTTTTGGTGGTATTTCCTATAGTGATGTAAACTTGTGACTAGAAGCCTGTAAACAGAAGTGGTCTTATTTACTCTTGAGAGGCAGCGTTCTTAGAAGATGGAGCTCTAATGCTTTTATAACTAATAAGCATGACTGTGGTCATTTCTATGAATAGGAACAGAATAGTGTTTATAAACTACTTTGTGTCAGGGACTCTTTTCAGCATACTATATGGAATCTTATCTTAAATTCTCCTACTTGTAAGGAGGATACAAATTTCTCCTATTACCTAGATAAAGAAATTGAGGCATAAAGAAATTACTTAAGTAATTTTTCTAGTATGGAGTCATCCTAGATTGAAAACCAGGCAATTTGACTCATGGTTCTACTCTATAGTGGTTCTAGGAACTGGACCATAAATTATAAAGCCATTTGAAAACACCCAGGGGGTACTGTAGGATTTGTTGAAATCACATTGATTTGTTTCTACTTTTTTGATTTTGAATGTTCCTTCTTACTTCCTGATGTATATGCTTCTTAAAATCCATTTTATTCTTTGATCTAACAACTTAAAAAATTATTTTTCCCTGGACCTAGTAAAAGTTCATTTCTCTCTTTCCTATATTTCCAGCTGTTTCTTTAGGCTTCCAGAAATTTAGTATTTCTTAGCTAGCAGTTTTTGTAGTGTGGAAATTCTCCATTAAATTAAAATTTGGTCTAGTATGTTAAATTTTAGGCTTTAATATATAAACCATCTGCTTTAATCTATAAACCATCCATATAGATTCCATATAGTATCTGCAGAGATAATATATTAACTATAAATTCAGTTTTCTGGTAAGGAAGTTAAGTTTGGTGGAAGAGGAAAGCTTTCCTGATAACTTGACATTTGCTCTCAAGAAGCATGAAATTAACCCTTGCTTGCTTTTAAAAATTATAATCCATGCCTTACTTAGTTTATTACAGGTAATAATAAATATAAAGTTGAGATCTCATAATACTATACACCATTTATTTTGTTATTTTGCTTTTTTAAGGGTCCAAAAGGTGAAGCAGTTGGATCCATAACTCAGCCCTTACCTAGCAGTTATTTGATCATCCGAGCCACTTCAGAGTCAGACGGTAAATAGAAATAATGGGCTGGATTTCTATCCTTATTTTTAAGGGTTTATTTCATATATGACTGTGTTTTCCTTTGGGAAATTTGTCTTTAGTATGGAATTTCAGTAAAGGTATTATAATTATAAATTATTTAGAACACTAAATATTTATATCATCAACTTGGTTGACAAACAGGGAAATCTGATAGAAAGGAAGCATTGTATAATTGAATGATAAATTAGCAGCCTGGAGTTTCCGCTTCATCTTTCACGACATATCAACACTCTTTTGACTTGGTTAGTGTTCTCTGTGGTAATGCATTGTTTTGTCGTTTTAGAAGTACATTTAGTACTGTTTATATTTTATCATTAAATATTAACATGAGACACCACATGCATTATTTTTCTTTATATAAGACACTCAAGTGCAAGCTTGTCTTATGTACTTATTACTTAATATTTACTTCCTGAGACAAACATAGGGAAGGTGTAACTTATATGAAAGCAAGGTATCTTTAAAACCTTAATAACTGGTAATGGATTTTTTTTCCCTAACTTTTATGTTTTATAGTTTTGACCATCTTAGCTTAGGGAGTCATGTAACCTTCTAAAATTTCCTTTTACTAGATGATTATTTTTTAAATTAAAATATCGTATGCATGCATTTTCATTATGAAAATGATTTATTTGGCTGATGTTTTAGCATATCTTGAAACAAATATATATGACTTCTCAGATCAATTAACATTTTTTTCTGCTAATACTGTTCTGAATTTTAATTTAAAAAATAGTTTGTAGGAGAGGAGGACTAAATTGGGAGTTTGGGATCGACATGAACATACTCCTATATTTAAAACAGATAACAAAAAAAAAGAAAACAGATAACAAACAAGGACCTACTGAATAGCACAGGGAACTCTGCTCAACATTCTGTAATAACCTAAATGGGAAAGGTTTTGAAAAAGAATAGATATTTGTATATGTATAGCTGAATCACTTTGTTGTACACCAGAAGCACAATATTGTAAATCAACTCTAGTCCAATATAAAATAAAAATTTTTTTAAAAATATAGTCAACCACACATTAAAAAATTAAGTTTCTCCTGACTAATATGACAATAACATTATTTGTACAGGCATTTTTCTGACTTAAACTTGAGGTGCTAAACCTGGGATAGATGTCTTATCAACAAGAAAATATTATTTTAGTTTGTTTCCTAGTAGAAACATAATTCTTAGGTATATTTTATATACCTTTTTTCTTACCTTCAAATTATACTACGTGTTAACATTGGAAGCTTTTAAAAATTAAGTACACTTATTTTAGATTAAGTGTATATCCTAATGTGCATTAATGCTATTTATTTACCAGTGGTTTCTAGATATTTAGCATGCAAAAAGCATTTATTGTACTGAAAAAACTGCATTAAGAAATCCTGGAAGGGCTTTATATTTGAATTAGCTTTTACAGTGCATGTTTCTGAGAGAAATAATACGTTCAAAAGTTAACTATGATAAATTATGTTGGATGCTAGTTTTTCTAGTTCCTTGAGTTACAGTGCTTTTGAATCTGCATTCTTCTAGGAAGGTGCTGGATGGATGCTTTGGAGTTGGCTTTGAAATGTTCTAGTCTTCTTAAACGGACAATGATCAGGGAAGGAAAAGAACATGACCTGAGCATCTCATCAGAGAGCACACATGTGACTTTGTATGGCTTATTACGTGCTAATAATCTCCACAGTGGTGACAATTTCCAGTAAGTAGATATTGCCACTAACATGGTGATTATTTTCAAGACTGTGTTATTCACTAGGTCCGTTGGCAGGCTGAGAATTCTGTGCTATATTTAGGACTGAAACCTGTCTGCTTTAAACCCCTTTGTGTGCTTGCTCAGTCACCCAGTCGTGTCTGACCCTCTGCAACCCCACGGACTGCAGCCTGCCAGGCTCCTCTGTCCATGGAATTTTCCAGGCAAGAATACTGGAGTTGGTTACCATTTCCTACTCCATTAAACCCCTATGGCCTGGTTTAAAATTTGTTTAGTTGCTATGATGAGGTATAGAAAGTTCTTGGATTCCAGCTAATGTAACTTGTTCTTTCCTAAATACAACCATACTAACAATCTTGTCTTTGTGTATGGTGTGCCCTCCATTAAGAACAATTTCTAGTCTTCCTTGCTTTTTTTCTATCCTACTCCTGTGTTTTCTTCAAGGCCAATCTCAGTCTCAAATATTACATGTGAAGCCTTTCTTGCCTCATAAAAATGAGACGTAATTCATCCTTCTATTGCTGTTCTATAGCAGTGTTTTTTTTGTTTTGTTTTAAATGGGACTTGGCTTATTCTGCCTGGCGTTTGTGGAATTCTTCTGTTAAATGGTATTTCAAGTTTGAACTGTATCCTATTTTTGTTTTTTACCCCTGAAGCATTTGTTGTAGTTAATAGTAAAAAAATTTTTCTCCAAGGAAAGAAGAGGTTCAGAGGTTTGTTCTGGTTCAGATCTCTTCTGTTGTTTTGCAAGAGAAATAAACTTTGCCTTTTCCTCCCTGGCCCCGACCCTCGGTTTCTCTGTAGTCATTTACTCATATTGGCACTGAGGTTATTCGCCTCAAAGTTAAGCTGTTTCTCTCCTCTCTGCCCTGTAACCTGAACTGAACATTTTTCTCCCTTTTCTTTTGACTATTTTTCTTTACTCTCTTTTAAGACTACCATTACCTGATCTTTTACATGCTTTCTTTGTAGATCTATTAATGTAACCTATAGTTTTATTTTTGGAAAAGGAAATGGCAACCCACTCCAGTATTCTTGCCTGTAGAATCCCATGGATAGAGGAGCCTGGCAGACTTCAGTCCATGGGGTCGCAAAGAGTCGGACACAGCTGAAGTGACTGAGCAGCGTAGCTTTATTTTATCCTAGTGTAGGAGCCTGAGTGAGGCAGGATGCGGGGGAGGGAGGTGCAGCTGATACAGGAATCTCTTCCCCTGGTATTGTTGAATGCCAGGTAGTCCTTAAATACTCTTATGTGGGGATCTTAAAAATTCATCTGCTTCACATATGTATTCATTAAAAACTTTGAGCCTTTCTCTTCGTGTGTAATTAGGTAATGTAAATATTAGACATGCTGAAGAAGCAGTGCTTTCTGGACACACAGGTGGTCAGCCAGGCATTTAAAGCAGGCTCGGGAAATCATCACATAGAAGTGGTGGTGAAGTCTTCAAACTGGAGAGCTTGCCAAAGAGGGAGAGAGGACAAAACAAAATAAAAGAGAAAGTAAAAGCCACACTGTGAGGGGTAAAGGAGAGACTAAATGGTAAGAAAGCCAAGACAGAAATTTTAGACTATGTTTTTTAAAAATGTGCAATTGTAAAGGATAAAAAAGAAAATAGCAAGTATTCTAAGAAAATGAATTTGTATTAGGAGTTCTCTGATTGAAATCTAAATGTAGGAAGATTTTTAAAAAATAGACACTAAAATAAGAATCAAATGGAGCTTCTATGGTCTGTTACTTATCTCAACATTATTAAAGCATCAGTTATATATAATGGCACCATGTATTCATTTGTAAAGAGCTTTATAAAATTTTTATACCAAATGAAACTCACAGGTACTTACTCAAATAAGAAATTTCTAAAAAAAAAATTTGATTCTGGAAATGATTTAATTATTTCATTTTTATGCAGATTAGCAACCCTAATCATATAAGTAAGAATAAGGTTGGGTATGGCAGCTTAACAGTTTTAGACTGAAAGTTCAATTAAGCTGAAATTTGCATTTCTAATTCTTCCTGGATTTTTTTTCCCAAGGTTAAACTTATCAGTCAAGTATTAAATCAACATAATTGCCTCATACATTTTCTCCTTTTATTGTTGGAATTATTATGAGTGAATTTGGAGACCTTTACAGGTAGAAAGTCATAATTCATTTGTGTTCACTTGAGAATCTGATGGTCTTGACCTGAAGTTTTTTCTTTAGACCAGAAGTGATAGGTTGATTCAAACATTCAAGTGATATTTGTAAAACTAACAAAAAATTCTAGCAAGAAATAGTCGAAAATTTTTGTTTTGAAAAATTTAGACCTAAAGGATAGAGAAGCAAAGAGCTCAGAGTGTCATCTTTTAATATTTTTCATGTTTTAATTTCTCTATGCCCCCATTTATCTGTGAAGTGAGAATAATCATTTTATTTATCTCATAGGGCATTTTTACAATTAAATGAGTAAAACTATATATAAAAAACACTTAGAATGGTGTCCAGCACATAGTAAATTCTCAGTAAGTGTTACATATCATTCTTACTTATAAACTGAATATTCTTAACCTCCTTTATCCTTCCTGCTAATAATTCTTTCCCTTAAGGTTAAATGATAGTGAAATTGAACGACAGCATTTTAAGGACCAAGATATGTATTCTGATAAATCTGATAAAGAAAATGATCAAGAGCATGATGAGTCTGACAACGAGGTGATGGGGAAAAGTGAAGAAAGCGACACAGACACGTCAGAAAGGCAAGATGACTCGTATATTGAGCCTGAGCCTGTTGAGGCCCTGAAGGAGACCACCTACACTGAGCAGGGCCATGAAGAACTCGGAGAGGTAACAGCGTGCGCTTTTCAAAGATTTTTATTTTCTATGAACTTACAGATGAAAGTGAAGATGTTTGTATGACCTATTGCTTATTTTCCTAAAAGAGAATAGTATTCATATAATACTTATTTTGAACAGCTAAACATATATACTCATACAAATGCCAATATAGTATATTGAATTTAAAGTTTATATTTTCTTCAGGTTTTCTTTTGAAATAAGAAACTCCTTGATGTTATTGCCAGATACAAAGTAAACTGCAGGGAAGTGTGAATTTATAACTTTCTTGTTGCTAATGCATAGAAGTAAACATAGTATAGAGTATGATATTTTTTGTACTGGATTCTTTGAAAATATCATTCACTTTAGTGTCTCTTGCAACTACCCTTTTACTAAATTTTATAGCTATTGACTAATTGCCTAATGGGTTATTTTCACATTTTGAGAATGCTCAGAATAATCCTATAGTGAATTATTTTTTTCTGCATTAGCCGTCTTACCTACATACATATCTATGCGTCTGAAATAGATAGAGTGTTTCAGTATTTTTTTTTAATTGCAAAAGGCAGGGGAGGCGTCTCAAACAGAAACTGTGTCTGAAGAAAACAAAAGCCTCATCTGGACTTTGCTGAAACAAGTTCGTCCTGGCATGGATCTGTCCAGGGTGGTTCTGCCTACATTTATTTTGGAACCCCGTTCTTTCCTGGATAAACTTTCAGATTACTACTATCATGCAGATTTCCTGTCTGAGTAAGTAAATCCCCATTTCTTAGAAGATGCTTCACGGTTTTAGAGATTTTTCAGAGTGCTAATTTCAGTTGTTGGTTTCCCTGCTGGCTTAAGACAGTAAAGTGTCTGCCCACAATGTGGGAAATGTGGGTTCGATCCCTGGGTTGGGAAGATCCCCTGAAGAAGGAAGTGGCACCCCACTCCAGTACTCTTGCCTGGAGAATCCCATGGACGGAGGAGCCTGGTGGGCTACAGTCCATGGGGTCGCAGAGTGTCAGACATGCTATTATGCTGTACCAAAATCAAGCTCTAATGAGATCCTGTTCTCTCTTCTCCACCACTAGTTGACCTTAGTAAGAAGTATGTTTAATGCTCTGCTGTGATGTTTCTGTTTATGAGGTCAAATGGGGTGATCACAAGCTTGAGGAAGACAGGAATTCTGCGTCTGCCTTGACAGCACTGCCGTCACAGGCTCCCTGACCTGTGCACTCAGCCCTCACGGGGAGAGCTGGCTGACATTTGTTGCTCTCCTCCCCTGAGCCCTCGTGCAGATCCTGTCCTAGGGTTTCTGCTTGCGTCTGTGCGTATCCTCTCTGTATGCAATAAGGCATGTGCCGCTTATTGCATCCGGAACAGCCTGCCAATTGCTGGCTCATGGCATAAATCCCCATTCTCTTTGTTTTTCTTCCTGCCAGCTGATCCTGGGTGTAATTCTGAAAAAGGCAGGCCTAAAGGAGGTGGAGGAGGATCTGCCTACCTCCTTCCCAGCAGTTTCTTGGAGAACCATACTTTTCAAGGTTCCACCTGCTGCCCCCATTCCAGCAGCAGTTTCAAGGCGCTGTGTTTTCTGAGATACAAGGTTCTAGCCTTGTGACCTGATTTTTAGATTCTTCATCAGTATCTGTATTCAGTTTATTAGTCTATTAGTTGCATTAATGAATGTTTCAAGGAAAAAAAGCATAAGCTGATTCAAAGGATAATTGATAAAACTGGGAGATTTTTGCAAATTAAGTCAAACATGAAGTGTTAAGCTCCCTAAAATAAAAAGAGTTCTTAACCAGTGAATGAAAATGGTCATTAACTTAATAGAAAAAAAAGAGTGGAGGAAATGACCAGGCAGTTAAAAAGTGAAGTATAGGAACAAGGAATTCTCCAGGCAAGAATACTGGAGTGCGTAGCCATTCCCTTCTCCAGGGGATCTTCCTGACCCAGGTGTTGGTCCCAGGTCTCTTGCACTGCAGGCAGATTCTTAAGTCTTCCCTGGTGGCTCAGGTGGTAAAGAATCTGCCTGCAATGCATAAGACCCGGGTTCAATCGCTGGGCTAGGAAGATCCCCTGGAGAAGGTAATGGCTACCTACTCCAGTATTCTCTCCTGGAGAATCCCACGGACAGAGGAGCCTAGTGGGCTACAGTCCATTGGGTCTCAGAGTCGGACACAACTGAGTGACTAACACACACAACAGAAACAAGTCCTTAAACATGTAAACTTAACTTTAAATATGAAAAGTGCAAATTCAGATCATAGTAAGGTCTATTTTTCTATCCATCTTGTTGACCAAAAATCTAAATGCTCTTATACCTCAGTTTTCCTTTCTTTTATCTAGCTAGAAACTTATTTCTCTCAGAATAGGAGGCAGCTTCCTATGAATCACAATAGGTTCTTGAGAGATGCCCGTCTCCCCAGATTCAGAGATTGCACGTGGGGAGGATGTGGGATGTGTGGGGGGGCAGGCGCTCACAGACTGCCGCTGGCTCATCCAGACCTGTGCAGTGCCTTTGAAAGAAACCTGGCGGTATTTGCCAAAACATGTCAGTGCATTCAGCCCTTTGGTCCAGCAATCCTGTGTCTGAGAATAACTGCTACAGACACAACGCTACATACACAAGATGATAACACGTACAAAATTGTGGCAGCAGGGCTTGAAATAGCAGAAGACTAGATAACTCAAGTGTCCAGCCACAGCTGACTGGTTAAGTAATGTATGGTACATCCACACTAAAGAAGAGTTCTGCAGACTGATTTAGAGGGATCGTCAGGATTTTACCTGTGTGTGTAAAAAAAAAAAAAACAAAACCAAAGTACAAAAGAATGCGTTGTTTCCTCTCCCTTTTAAAGAAAAAGGCTATATATTATATCTGCTTCTTTATGCTTTAAGAAAACTGAGTAAAAAGAAACATTTTAAACAGAAAGTTGCCTATGGTAGGTTAAGCAGGAAGAACATGGAGAGATGGGGCATTGGCATGACTGTATACTTTTTTATATTGCTTTGGAGTTTGAACTGTGTATTCTACATGCATGTAAAGTTTTACATAAATTTCATAATAAGAGAATTTAAAGCAAGAAGAGCACAATGAGAGGGATAACTCCAGAAAAGCTCAACAACTTTAACTTGGCCCACTTGTCAGCAAGCCTAGGCCTAGCCTCTCCACCTCACTCTTCATCTCAGAGATCACCGTATTGGACCTTTAGACGTGCTTAAAGGGAGTAGTATAAATAGTTAAATGGCTGTGTGTGTGTGTGTGTGTGTGTGTGTGTGTGTATTGACTTCTCAGATTGACTTCTGAAAAACACAATCAGTGTTTTACTATGTTCACATCAATAGCAGAAGGGCAAGGGGACAGGTGAGTCATAGCTTCTAAAACTGTCTCTTTTAAAATGAAAACTGTTCTTTATCTATTAAATTGGTAGTTATTAAATAACTCTGGAAAATTAGTTGGTAGCACATAGGGAGATTCAAGTCTAAAGATGGGGTTAAAATCTTTTTGATTGGTATAAATTATTTTGTTTTCCATATTGGTGATTTGAAACTTCTGCATTTTATACTACAGACTAAAAGGTCACATAGTCATGTGCTTCAGAGAGGCAATTTCATGGAAGAGGCTGATATTAGCATGTTGCACTATATCTCTCACCAGCTACTGTTGATTGCTTCTAATTACCATCATCAGCTGAGAAGAGACTAGATCAAGTGGACATGGTCCTTTTCTGACAAAAAGGACTAAAGACTTCTAATGAAATCATTAGCAAGACTGCTTGGCCATTGCTTCAGCATTGCAAATGCTAGGGATCATGCAGTGCGTGAATCTCAAAATCTATGTTTATTTTTTTCAATCACATTTTCAAATAGCAATATCTAGGGTTCTTTAGAACCCCAGTTGAGAAACCTTGGTTTAGAGAGTTTTCAAAAACTACTTAAGCAGAGGCTGGGGCAATATATCAAATAATAAGAAAAATGGGGAGAAAAATAACTAGGTTATGCAAAATGACTCTTGCATCCTGATTGCCATGGTTACTTTTACCGTCTGTTTTAAATATGAATTGTATACTTTCCTATCGGTTCATATTCAGTTGTTGGCCTCATTAATATTAGGGAGGTTTTGTGATATGTTCTGTAAAATTTTTCCATGTTATCATTTTGTTTTTTAGGGCTGCTCTTGAAGAAAATCCTTATTTCCGTTTGAAGAAAGTAGTGAAATGGTATTTGTCAGGATTCTATAAAAAGCCAAAGGTAGTGTTTATGCTTTACTTTCTTTAGCCTTATATATTTTTTTCTGGGTTATCTTAGATTATTTATGAATAATTACATTGCAGGCCCTCTTTTAATTAGCAAAATTGCAAAGTACTTGGTTGTATAGACCTGTATTCTGATTGAAGGCATTTAGTTTTATTTCATGTCATTGTAATTTTATAAGGATAATTCTTAGATGATACAGTTAAGCCCATCTTGACTAGTTTAAGTTAGTACTTTGAATCTTCCATGTTTATAATTTTAAACTTGTATGTTTTTTACTAGGGACTGAAGAAACCTTATAATCCTATACTTGGTGAGACTTTCCGTTGTTTGTGGATTCATCCCAGAACAAACAGCAAAACTTTTTATATTGCTGAACAGGTATTAGAAATGCTTGTTATAGAAGGAAAACTGATTTGGAAGTTAAAATTTTTTTTAGGGAAAATATTAACTCAGTAAGCTCACTGTTGATTAATCTTTCTTACTAGGGACCATTTGATAAGCATTCAGCCTCTTAATACTGACTACTACTAAATACCATACTCTCTTACAGTCATAGAATCCTGTGATCAAAATTAAGTCTTTATTTTTCTTGCTTTGCTCTCTGTTTTTGTTTTTTGGTTTTTTGCGGCCAGATACTTCAGTGGTTCTCCAGTCCCTAAATCAAATTTAAACCCATTTCTCTAACATTCAGAGGCCTCCATATCTTTCTGAATTTATCTCACATTACTGGCCTTTGGGGGCTTCTCTGGTGGCTCAGCTGGTAAAGAATCCACCTGCAGTGTGGGAGACCTGGGTTCGATCCCTGGGTTGGGAAGATCCCCTGAAGAAGGGAACAGCTACCCACTCCAGTGTTCTGGCCTGGAGAACTCCATGGACCGAGTAGTCCATGGGGCCGCTGAGCCGGATCCGACTGAGCAGCTTGCACTCACCTGCCGTTTTAAGCGCTCCACAGTGGTCAGACCTGTGCGTTCACAGTCAGATCACCTGCTAGTGCGCTTTGTTGCCTCATTATTTTTCAGCTTAATTCTCCAACCCTGTTTCTTCCCAGCTATTCATCTAAACAAATTCTGGCCTGCTTATCTTCCATATAGAGACTGTAAGGAGGATGAGAATACGAGGTGTTATTTGAGAAACCTTCGTCTTCCCAGTAAATTTTGATGTACTCCACAGATTGAAAGCACTTTGTCGGTATTGGTTTTTTAAATGATTGCATGTTAGTTCGCTGTAATTCTTCACTAAGTTGAGAAGCTTGAGAAGTGATTAATTTTACCTTTGTCTCATTTTAGAAACCTTAAGCTGTATACGTATCAAAATATTAATTATTAAAATGACATATTTGTTAAAACTTTTGTTCGTTTTTTAAGTCTGTTCAGTAATCTACATGAAGAATAGCCACTGTATTAGTTATTCATTGCTGTATAACAAATTCAAAACTTCATGGCTTAAGACAACGAACATTTATTATTTCATGTAATAAGGTTAGGGATCTGAGAGCTGTTTAGCTGGGGGATTCTGGCTCAGGGTCTCTCCTGAGGTTGAGGTCAAGATGTCAGCCAGCTTTGCAGTCTTCTCAAGGATTCTGCTTCCAAGGTCACCACATGGCTTTTGAGAGGAGGTCAGTACCTTATCACTTGGGCCTCTCCGTAGAGTTGTTGACAACGTGGAAGCTGGCTATTCAAAGCTAGTGATTTGAGAGAGACACACACACCAAGATACATGCTGCATTATAGCCTAGTTTCAGAGGTGACATACTGTGACTTCCACACAGGCTGACCCGGGTACAGTGGGTACAGTGTAAGAGGAGCTCATCTATTGCTGTGAATACCAGGAGGTGGGTTTCCTTGAGATACGTCTTGGAGATTGGTTCCTACATCATCAATATTTAATTTTACTGTTAAATACTTAGCAAATATTTCTTTTAATTCATTATTAGAATATACTTCTAAGACTTGAGCTTTTGATAATATCACAGTAATATGCTCATAATTATTATATTTTCATGTATGTTTCCTGTGTTCAATAGGTGTCGCATCATCCACCAATATCTGCCTTTTATGTCAGTAACCGAAAAGACGGATTTTGCCTTAGTGGTAGTATCCTGGCTAAGTCCAAGTTCTATGGTGAGTTTACCCATGTCTCAATCTATATGCTTTTTGGGATTTAGTATTTTCTGGTGAGCTTTAATATAGACAATGTCTTGTACTGTTTTCAGCAAGGGATTTGTATGTCATTTTAAGTATCAGTTTTATTTGGATAATGACTTTTCATTTTTGTTGTTTTTCTTTGCTCATTCATAAATAGAGCTTTCATCACATATGTGTAAATTTACCGCAAACACCACTTATCAAAAGACAGAATGACTGTCCACTATAGCTTGCCATTTTAGTCCACGATATATTTCTTTAGCCTTTAGCTCTACTAAGATTTTTTATTTCATTTCACTGTACCTGAGAGGTTGATCTTTTGATTTAGTCTTTGAATAGAGAGAGAGAATCCAAATACAGTTAGAATACTTGTCCAGAGTCCAATATTGAGAGTAATGATATTTTTACCTTGAATCAAGTAACATGCTACTAAAAACTTTTGTTTAAAAAAAAAAGAAGGAAAATAAAGAAATATGTACAGTAGGAACTCTTAATCCAAAACCTGTGACAGTTCAAACAAGCAGATCATCCCTTGACACTTGCTTTGTTTGGCTTCTGGTTTTGAATTTTTTGCCTAGTGTTATATTTCGCTTGTTTCAGAGTATGATCCTTTTCTTCTGAAAGTTGCATGTATTTGAGTTTTTCCCCACTGTGCCCTTCATCTCTTCATGTCCCTACCTTGACTATAGTGTAGATAGCTTTTGTGAATGTGTGTTCTGCCCTTGTAGAATTTTTATTCAGTACCAACTACATAGCTCGCTTTCTGGGATTACTTTTTGCAGCTAGCCTTTTTTCACTGTTAAAGAGAATATAGTTGTGTATATCAGAACTGTCTGTTCCTTTGTAATTTGAAAGAATTTACTAAGTTCAGACTTTGTAAGGACAGTTTTTTTGTAACTTCGTTTCTTCTTCGGTTATTGATTCTTGCCTGGAGAGTTTGATAATTTATTTTGTTTTAGGAATTGATGCATTTTCTTAAATATAAATTAAGCTAAATTTAATGACATCTGGGCAGAGTGTATTCCTCTTAACAAGTAGTCTCTTGACATTTTGATGTACTAAATTATCAGTTTTTCCTTTGATGGTTTTTCTCTTGATGTCACAGTTAGAAAAATCCTTTCGCGCTTCAGCTTATGTAATAATTCACTTGTATATTCTTATACTTTTATGCTCTCATTGATCTTTAATTTGGCTAGAACTTACTTTGATGTATACGTTGTGACTGGAGTGAAGCAAGATCACGACTTTCTTTTCCTAAAAGCCAACTAATTTTCTCAGTATCTAGTTTATTTATAAATGACTTTTAGTGGCATTATTTTCTATTTCAGGTTCTATCTTCTGAGGTCTGTTGATCTGTTTTTTCTTGTACCACTAGTCTCTGTCCTAAGAACCATTTATTTTTAAATGGGTTTCTTATATTCTGTGGAGCAGGTGAAATATAGGTACTTAGCCATTTTGCTATGGGTTAAATAATTTATCATCATTTGGGACAGCTGCTCTTGTTTTTCAAATAGTATGCATGAACCATCAATTTCATAATCAGAATATGAGTTAAGATTTTGGAATTCTGGACCCCAGTCTTGACTTACCAAATCAAAATCACTGGGCTCAAGAATATACATTTTTATAATCTCAGGTAATTGTAATGTACACTATAATCTGAAATAGCTGATGATACAATGTTAAATGAAAAGCAGAATACATCTATGCCCTGAGTCACCTCTACTTTAAAAGTATTCATGTTTTTAAAGTAAAAGTAAACATGCATTCATGTTTAGGAAAAAAATCAAGATTTCATGATTAACCTGAATTATAGAATTATGGATAATTATCTTTGGATTTTTCAACTTGCCCATGAAGAACACATATTTCCTTTAAAATAAGGAAACATTCAGTTATTTTAAGATATAATATGGCTATGAATACTATATAATAAAAGGTAAATGATTTAATGATATGCCAGCACATGTATACAGTTGGATACAAAACATCTGTGTGGTTTTACTGTGTTAAAAATGTGTATGGACAACAATGTCTGAATGAAGCCCTCCTGGACCATCCTTCTCCTCTGTACATTTGGCCCTAATACCAAAAGCAGCTGCCTGAAGGTATTAAAGAGAGAGCAGCTGCAGACAAATTCAGTGGGAAGCCCACAGTCATAGAACAGAAATCACACAGAATGAATCCTTGCTTCTCAGCTTCAGGTTACATATGGTTAACAGGGTAAACTGGTAGAAACATTGCAACCTTTCCAGCCTGGGGAACCAAACACTAAATTTGGAGAAACCATGCCCACTAGACAAAGAACAGGAACCCTAAATGGCAAAGAGCCAGAGAGGGGGATCTCAGATTCATTGCTATAAAATTACCCATAGCATTCTCTTATCTTCCTCTTGGTGTCTGCAGGCTCTGTAGTGATTCTGCTCATTTTATTACTGATTTGTGTTCTTTATTTTGATCTGTCTGTATCAATTCTTGGCTTCCCTAATTTTCTGAATTATCTGTCCACTTTACACTCATGTCTGCTCATCCTTATTTCCTTTCTTCTACCTACTTGGAATTTAATTATTTCTTTTTCTAATTTCATAGGGTAAAAAGTCAGATAACTGATTTGAATTTTTCTTTTTTTCTAATTTAAGTTGTAAATTTCCCTCTAAGCACCCTTTTCTACTGTAGATATCTGATAGATGTCCTCAATATGTTTTGTTTGTTTTGGAATGGTTAAATTATTTTCTGTGAAATTTAATAAGCAATATTTATTTCAGGAAACTCATTATCTGCAATATTAGAAGGAGAAGCACGGTTAACTTTCTTGAATAGAGGTGAAGATTATGTAATGACGATGCCATATGCTCATTGTAAAGGTGTGTATTTTCTATACTTGTTAGATTCCCCTAAATCTTCTTTTTAAGTAAATGTATTTGACTGTAATTTGTTATAATTTGAGATTGATAGTTTCTTGGCCTTTTGTTTGAAAGTGTCCTTGATTTACAGATACGTAAGATCATTGTTATCATCTGCTGAATACTTCTATAGTGAATTAATTCACCACAATGGACTTTCTGTGACATGTATATTAGTTTGACAGAGACTAATTTATAATAATGGAATTTCATTTGCCTTATCTGCAAGTTGTAGAATTTGGTGAGGCTGACTATTATTTCAGAATCCTTGAAAGTGATTTTCATTTTTTTGTACCATTACCCATTCCTTAAATGTTAATTTACTGCTTTTCACTGTAACAGGCTCCTTAAAATTTTTTCTCGTCCTTATTTGGCAATTTCTTAAAAATTAATGTACTATGCTTTTCTCCCATTATTTAGTGTACAGATAAAGATATTAAATAGTAACTATCAGGATAGGACAGGCATTCAACTATTCTGTGAACTCTACATTTGTAAACTCATCTAATCATTCCAGTAGCCCTATAAATTAGGTGATATTATCTTTGTTTGATGGACAAGCAAAATGAGGCAGAAAGAGGTTAGCACAAGTTCTGCAATCTGTACTGCAGTTCTATATGGCACCATCTTAAACACTCTGCTCCATCATTATCTATACCATCCTTTCCAACCCATTTCTTAAAAATAGCTTTTTAGGGTAATTATCCTCTATTTTAGGAACTGATTCATGAAAACATAGAAATTACTTAATATGGCCTCATTTCACAGGTGAAAAACTTGGGTTAGGAATCTTACCTAAAGGCAGACCAGCTAGTCAGTAAGCATGCTGAGACCAAGAGCTAGGCTATTGGAGCCCAGCCATTATGCCATGAATCTCTCTGTACTAAGTACAAGAGCACCAGCTTGTGGCCTCAGTCTGGGTAATTCCTAGAGCTTCATGTGTGGTTCTTGAAACAAGCATGAAGTGAAACATTTGAAATTGTGAATTGATAATATATTTTTTAAATTTTGGAATAAGTAAAATGATATTTTATGTAGATAAATACCTGATACCAGACCTAAATAGCAACAAGGAAAACTTTTCATAGCACTGTTTATATTGCAGGGAAAAAAAAGGAAATTATAGCCTCTTGTGAATGATGAAATTATTATTTTCTACCTTTGTATATTTTCTAAGATGTGTTCCCCAAATGAGTAGTCTCAAATTATTTTATAAAGCAAGAATTCTATAGTCAAATAACTTGGAAGCATTGCACAGTCTGTTCCTCTTTTGAAAATGAGCATTGTGTATTTGCATATTAAAGACTGCCATGGGAGTTTAGTCCAGCTTGGAAGGCATTATGCTAAGAAGTAAAGTCAGACAGAGATGGACAAATGCAGTGTATCACTTATACATGGAATCTAAAAAATACAACAAACTAGTGAATGTAACAAAACAGGAAGCAGATTGGCAGATACAGAGCAGAAACTAGTGGTTACCGGTTGGGAGTGGATTTTGACGGCAGAGAAGTAGAGGGCACAGGCTGTTGGGTGTAAGGTAGGCTCAGGGATGTGTCTACAACACGGGGAATGTGACCAAGAGTTTGTGATACTGTAAATGGAAAATAATCTTTTTAAATTGTGTGAAAATTTTTAAATTTTTAAAAATTCCATCTGAAATGTTGTTTAAAAAATCAAATTGAAGAACGATCTGTATAGCATAATTGTATGCAAAATGAGCTTATATAGTTTCTGTGCATACATGGTAAAAATATACAAACTATGGAAATGATGAATATGGTGGAAAAAAGAAATTAGTCCAAGAATATACACACACACACAGCCTGTTTAACTCATCAAACTCAGAATTTCCCCAACTTTTAGTCAAGTGCCAAAATGGGGAGATTTTTTAATTTTTCTGACACAGTTGATTATTGTTCACAGTACTTACTTTTTATAATGTCATCATAATGCTGAACTAACGAATACCAAATTGTTGCTCCTAGAGGAGACGCATGGTGAGGTTCTCGTGAGCTTTCTGTCACCGTATTTTCGTCACCCAGTCAAAACATAGCTTTGTTTTTATGTGTGTGCTTGGTCGCTCAGTCGTGTGCGACCCCATGCCCTGAGGCCCTCCAGGCTCCTCTGTCCATGGGGATTCTCCAGGCAAGAGCACTAGAGTGGAGCTATGCGCTCCTCCAGGGGATCAAACCCAGGTTTCCCGCATTGCAGGCAGATTCTTTCAGGACCCGGATTGCTTTCTTTCTCATGGCATATATTTTTGATTCATTAACATTGAATTAACAGCCAGCAGCACTATAACTCATGCCTAAACCAAGCAGTAATGGACACATTTTCCCTGTAAGGTACATCACAGTCTCCTGTGCTTAGGAACACCAGACAGCACTTTAGCACTGCCTTTGGGGGGCATTGTGAATAGTAAAATCACCAACAAAAGCACAAAAATGTGGCACTGAATATACTGCATAAAAGACTGCATGAACAATGAAACCAGAAGTCAGCATCTCGCCTTGTTTGACTTCAACTTCAGTGTGTGCGCTGGACAAATATTTCACCACTCTGCACACATCCATGAATGAATACAAAAATGCTCTGGGTAGAGACTACTAACTTATTTTGGTGAAAATAGGGAATTCCCTGGTTAGGACTTTGACTTTCACTACAGGGGACGTGGCTTTGATCCTTGGTGGGGGAACTGGAAACTAAGATCCTACATGCTGCATGGTACAGCTTAAAAAAAAAAAGGTATTTTAGTGAGAGTATTAAGTTGCAAATGTAGAGTCCTCAGATAATGTGGGTCAACTTATCTTTTTAAATCCTTCAGAACCAACTTTGTGTGTATATTGTAGATTGTTATTGGATAGGATAGAATCCTCTTGAATTATCAATTTCTACTAGAAGGAGATTAAATTGTAAAGGTTTGCTTGTGATAAGCCAGTGTCTCTCTCTTCAAACTTTTGTCAAAATTTTTTTTTTTCCTTTAGGAATTCTTTATGGCACAATGACCCTGGAGCTTGGTGGAACAGTCAGTATTACATGTCAAAAAACTGGGTACAGTGCAGTACTTGAATTCAAACTAAAGGTTAGTAGAGAATAATAGGAGGTATCACCTTGTTAAAGAGGAGCTGTGCTATAAATACTCAATAAAGAGCACAATTTTGTTCCTAATTGAAAACTAAATATAAGAACACAGAATTCATGAAAAGGCAGCCTTGGAAGATTCAAATCAATAGAAAGCCGTGATTTTCTTGTTTTTAATTTTAGTTAATGAAACTCTTACGAGTGAGCAAAAGTCGTTCAGTCATGTCCGACTCTTTGCAACCCCATGGAATATACAGTCCATGGAATTCTACAGGCCAGAATACTGGAGTGGATAGCCTATCCCTTCTCCAGGGGATCTTTCCAACCCAGGATTCAAACTGGGGTCTCCTGCATTGCAGGCAGATTCTTTACCAACTGAGCTATCAGGGAAGTCCATAGGAAATTTAAGAAGAAGAGAATGAATGGAAATTTCTTAGTAAATTGAAGCAGTGCTTTACAGAATACCAAAAAGTATATATCTGAAAAGAAGTATGTATCAGCTTGAGCTATAGCTGTGTACATTAAAGCAGTTGTATTACTTATTATTTCTAACTTAACATATTCTGAAATTTGTAAGTGTAGAAACAACTATGTCTGTTTCTTAGTGGTTCTGTGGGCCAGGAATTTGGACAGGGCATGTTGGAGATGGCTTGTCTCTGCTGCATTATGCCTGGGGCAACAGTTACACAGGCTGTGAGATACTTAGCAGGTGGGGGCTGGACACATCTGACAGCTCATCATTTACATGACTGATGACATGTAAGTAATGTTGAAGTGAATGAAGGACTGGGAATGCAGATCTGAGCATGTGGTCTTGTCTTCCTCACATCAAGGGGACTTTAAGATAGACTTATGCTTGGCTCAGGATTCCAAGTACGGGTGTCCTTGTAAGCAAGACAGAAGATGCGTTGCTGTCCATGACCTAGCCTCAGAAATAAAATTACATCATTTCCACCATTCTCTACTAGTTGAAGAATTACAAACCCACCTAAATGCAAGGGGAAGGGATATAGAGCCCACTTCTCAGTGAGAGGATGCCAAGTTCTCATTGAGGAAGAGCATGTGGGCTAAAGGGGAAAGGGGAGATATAGTTGAGGTCATCTTTGGAAAATTCTGTCTGCCTCAGCATGGAAGGGAAGTTTAAGATCTTTTCACAGTATCATTTGTTGATATAGCACAGCATTATTTTTAGATAAAAATATTTCTATGAATTATTTAATGCTTACAACCAAATATTAGTTGTAAGTATCAGCTGTGTTGATATCCAGCAGATCAGCAGCTTTGCTCTAATAAAAAAGATCTCTTTAAGTATTATCTGATGCAGTGCCCTTTGATTTTTTTCCTTCTTAGCAAACGATACTGAAAATCATGACTGAAGAGGTCTTAAGTAATTTATGACATCTTTAAGGATTAGATTGGAGCATCAAAATTTTGTCAGTACAAACATCAGTAAGGCAATACAGTGACTCAAATTATATTTCTTCTAAATGAATTTCAGAAGTTTTTTTATTTGAGTGTTGTTTTATTGGTTTGTTTTAAAAGAGGAGTTCCTATTAAATATATGAGTTAAGTCTCTCATGTTTACTGAGTTGTTATTGCCTAAGATCCTGCAGCACGGATAGAGGGCAGTCTTGAGTCGAGAGAGCCCAAGACAGGAGCCAGTTATTTCAGTGTTAGCTTTCTTAGCCTGTTTCAGTTCAGTTGCTCAGTTGTGTCCGACTCTTTGCGACCCCATGAATCCCAGCATGCCAGGCTTTACTCACACCCATGTCCATCGAGTCGGTGATGCCATCCAGCCATCTCATCCTCTGTCGTCCCCTTCTCTCCTGCCCCCAATCCCTCCCAGCATCAGGGTCTTTTCCAACGAGTCAACTCTTCGCATCAGGTGGCCAAAGTATTGGAGTTTCAGCTTCAACATCAGTCCTTCCAATGAACACCCAGGACTGATCTCCTTTAGGACGGACTGGTTGGATCTCCTTGCAGTCCAAGGGACTCTCAAGAGTCTTCTCCAACACCACAGTTCAAAAGACTTGGACCTATATAGTCTGCTTTTATCTGTTTTTTCACAGCAATAAATTTAAAATTTTTACTGAACATTTCTGACTAAAATTTGAGTCAGTATTTCACCATTTGTGCCTCAACAGCACTGTATAGTTATACAGTTACTTTTTCGGTTGGTTTTTTTTGGTCTACATTGTATGTAAATATGTTAAAAGTAAAATGTTTCTTCATTTTTTCTTTTAAAAGCCATTTCTAGGTAGTAGTGATTGTGTTAATCAAATATCAGGTAAACTAAAACTGGGAAAAGAAGTACTAGCTACTTTGGAAGGACACTGGGTAAGTATTTTTATATTTTAGCTTTACAAAAAGAATTTTATTCAGTGGGAAAAAATTAAACATCAGATTTTATAAGTTCACTTATTCCATTTCTAAGAGCATGACTATTCAACATAAGCCTCAACTTAAATATTTTGGTATTTCTCTGTTATCAATAATATTTAGTTTAATATTTGAGCTTTCTGAAACCTTAAATCAATAAAAATAGCTGACACTTTTATATCACTTATTATGGAGTGCATTGTTTAAAAATGTTACTTATATTAACTCATTTAATATAGTGATCCTATGAGGTGAGTGTTATTATTTTGTCCCCATTTTACAGAGGAGGACACTGAGGCACAGAGAATTTAAATAATTTGTTCAGAGTGGTGAAGTAAGATTCCCAGCCTAGACACTCTGGTTCCAAGGCTATGCTTATACATCGCAGTATACTGCCTCTCACCAGAAGAGGTGTTTCCAGTAAGAGTTTAGTTTCTTCTAAGGAGCTTGGAAAAGATACAGTGTTTTTTGAGAGCAGTGGCTTTTATTTACTTCTCTATGACCTAAATTCACGTTTATGTAATTTTTCTGAGAGGAGCTTATTAAATTAATAAAAAAAAGATCATGTCATGCTAGTGCCAAATGCATTCTCACTGTTAACTCTTGTATAGGCTTTTTTCCCATTATAATCAGAAAATGATGAGAAATATGATGTTAAAATGAAGATGGACCTAGAAACTCAACTAAGAGGTCACAATGCTCTGTTATTTTTAGAATTTTCTTCTATCTGAATATCTTTTGAGAAAAAGATAAAACTCTTCTTTTAAAAAATGAAATTTATGAGATTGTGCTCAGATATTTAATGCTAAGAAATACTCTTAGCTTTTTCTACATATATTGAGTACTCACATGGTCTACAGCGTCTCATACTGGTCTACAGTAACTGTAGCAAACACTGCTCTGCTTGGATGACTCAGAGTATTAAGTGAAACTTGTGAAAACTCACGAACTTTTTGTCTATTCAACCAGACTTTTAAAGGACAAGTATTACATATTTAATCTTAACATTTTCATAACAAGAGATTTGGGGCTTTTAGAAAAGTACTTGTTATATTTGTTTTAGAAATGTGTTTTACTGGGATTAAGTGTCAAGAAGAAATGGTTATTACTGAACTGTATAATTCCCTTTTAAATAAAGACAATTCTGTACATTAATTTTTAGTATCTTTAAATATAGGATAGTGAAGTTTTTATTACTGACAAAAAGACTGATAATTCAGAGGTTTTCTGGAATCCAACACCAGACATTAAGCAGTGGAGATTAATAAGGCACACTGTGAAATTTGAAGAGCAGGGAGATTTTGAATCAGAGAAGTAAGTATACCATTTTTTAGTTAACTTCATGAGAACCCAAAGAGTTGTTTTTTTTTTTTTAATCCCTCAACAGTGTGATCGCTTTTTTCTATTTGAATTCAGCAAAGTAGTTTACTATTTGTGGGATGTTGCAGGATTTTTGTTTCGGTGTATGTGAATATCAAATAATTACAATACAAATCATGCTGCTCTTCGGCTCTAAATTAAAACTTCTATTTTTTTCCTTTCTCTTCTTATCTGCTCCACGACCTATTTTTTAAAAAAAAACAACTTTTTTTTGCTTGCATAAAATTATGGGACTAGGTCTTTTCTTTCAGTCCAGTGGTTAACACTCCTCGCTCCCAGAGCAAGGGGGCATAGGTTCAATCCCTGATCAGGGAACTAAAAAGACAGAACAATATGGGACTAATGATTCTTGGTTTTTATCCGGCAGCAGTTTTCTAACCCGGGTTAGGCATGTGAAACTCTAGGTGGAGGGAGCAGTACAAAATCTACTTTTGTTTTATTTTCTAAAATACAAAAATTACAGCACTGGATGTGCAGCTTCTAGAGGACTTATATTAGTTAGGGACTAATTAAGGCCATGATTTCTGTTCTTAAATCATGAAATTCTTGCTCGATCTCATATACTTTACAGGAGTGGGTTGCCATTCCCTTCTTTAGGGGATCTTCCGAACCCAGGGATTGAACCCAGGTCTCCTCCATTGCAGGCAGTTTCTTTACTCTGTGAGCCACTAGGGAAGTACATCAAAAATATTGTATACATATTGCTCATTTGTATTCTTCTATTCCTTTCTTTGTGTTAGGAGAAGGGGGCTTCTGTGTAAAAGACAGTCTACTAGGTACTTTATATACATTATGCAATTGAGTTCTCAGTACGAGTTTCTGCACACACATCATTCTCATGAGGATTCAAGTCTACATGCCCTTTCCTTCCATACTCTAAAACTGGGTTTGTCATGTTCTAAAAATTCTGTTTCAGGGACAGTCCGGTGGTTAAGACTTTACCTTCCAGTGCAGAGGGAGTGGGTTTGATCCCTGGTCAGAGAACTAAGGTCCCACATGCCTCATGGCCCCAAAAATAAATAAGTAAATAAAGCAGAAGCAGTACTGTAACAAATTCAATAACAACTTAAAAATTTTTTCACATTAAAAGAAAAAATTCTCTTTTACTATAACCACATGATGCTCTCCATCAAGAGTGAAACTTTGCCAAGGCATACGACTATTTTTAAGACATGGATATACTTTAACATATTTTTAAGATGGGGAAAATGAGTTTTAGACAAGTAACTGTAAGTTCCCCAGCCAAGAGGTGGCAAATCTAGGATTATCTGATTCTGTAACCTTTATTCTTTCAGTCCCAACATACTGTCTTGCCAGATGGGTAGAATATAGATATATTTTTATGTGTCTAATATAAAACTAAACTTTAGTAGGGAAAATATTTTACTTCTAATAGAAAAGTAGTCTTTTCTGTTAAATCAGTGATTCTCAACACTGGCTGCACATTAAAATAACTTGGGAAACATTACAAAAACAATACTTGGGCCCACTCCCATAGATTCTGATTTTTTAAATTCCCTGACAAATCCTGCATCCAAGGTTGAGAAACATGACATTACACTTTTGTATCTTTGAGGCCCATGGATCTTAATCTGCATGTGCAGGAATCATCTGGGGAGCTTGTTAAAATGTAGATTATTGAGCCTTCACCAGAGTTCTGTCATGACCATGATGGTCAGCACCATTCATTTCCATATATTTAAGAACTCATGTAATACATTTCTCTTGCCAAGAAAAAAAATTGGTCTCCACTGTCTTGCTGTATTTAAGGCATTACTTTTTATATCTTGACTTGTTTCTAAGCATCTGAGCTTTAGCTTTGTCAAAGCCAAAAACCCACATGGGCATCATTTCCTCTCAAGGGGACTCAAACCTACTCCATGTAGATTTGATTTTCTGTTGTTTTCTCAATGTTATTTTTGCACATAAATTAGACTCTGGCAGCGGGTAACTCGAGCCATAAATGCCAAAGACCAAACAGAAGCTACTCAAGAAAAGTATGTTTTAGAAGAAGCTCAAAGACAAGGTGCCAGAGAGCGGAAAACAAAAAATGAAGAGTGGACTTGCAAGTTATTTGAACTTGACTCACTTACAGGAGAATGGCATTACAAGTTTGCAGAGTAAGTAATTAAAAAGTATGTTACAAATAATATCTCATAGTTTTTTGCCTTCATTTCTAGATTTTTTATTGTTAGTATGAATAGTTTTTAAATTAAGTGATACATACACACATGCACACACACACAAAGTATGAGATTTTACCCTTGATGTTCATTATAAATTTGACTCTGTGGTAATAGTTAGCCTATAAAATAAGCTGAGGATCAGAAGATTAGATATGACAGATCTTAGTTTTATGGCTAAGTTTATCATTACCATTGAAAATCTAATCATAGAAAGTTTCTGAAACGTTTTTGAGTGTTTTGCTTAGTCATTAAGCAGATGGTGTTTTTTTCGTTTATGTAGTACTCGACCATGGGACCCACTGAACGATATGATACAGTATGAAAAAGACGGTGTTATCCAGACCAAAGTGAGGCATCGCACTCCAATGGTATGTGCTAAAAAAGTCACTAGAGGCCAGTCCTGGAGGAGCAGCCTCCCTCAGTTCTCCCGCCCGTCCTTTGCTGCTGTGTCTGAATAAATAGTTCTGGATTTCCACATGTAAAAGAATGAAGTTGGATCCCCTGCCTCAAGCCATATGCAAAAACTAACTCTGAATGGATTCACAACCTAAAATAAGAGCTAAAATTATAAAACTCTTAGAAGAAAAAAGGAGTAAATCTTCATAATCTTTTATTTGGCCCTGTATTCTTTTTTATTGTTAATATGAATAGTTTTTAAATTAAGCAATACATACACACACACACACAGACAATGACATTAAAGGCATGAGGAACAACAAGAAAAAGTAGATAACATTGAACTTCATCAAAATACTTTTGTGTATCAAAGGATATTATCGAAGTGAAAGACAACAGAGAATATTTGCAATAATTGATCTCGTAGGAGTTTAATACCTAGGGTATATATAGAACTCCTTACTTAACCAAAAACAAACATTCCAAGTAGAAAATGAACAAAGGACTTGAATAGACATTTCTCCAAAGAAGATAGACAGATGTCCAACAAACATGAAAAGATGCTCAGCATCATTAGTCGTAAGGGAAATGCAAATCAGAACTAGAAGGAGGTTGGGTACTACTATACACCTACTAGAATGATAATAATTTTAAAAATACAAAATACGTGTTGAGAGGATGTGGAGAAATATAAAGTGGTGCAGCTGCTTGGAGCATGAGTTGGTGGTTCTTCAAAAAGCATAACATAGAATTGCTGTCTAAGCCAGCAGTTCTACTGAAGAAGAATCGAGAACAGTCTCAGACACACGCTTGCACATCAGCGTTCACTGTGGCATTATTCTCAAGAGCCAAAGGCAGAAACAATTCAAGCATCCATCAGCAGACGGACAAGCAGAATGTGGTGTATGTTTACAACAGGATGTTGTTCAGCCATTTTAAAAGGCATGAAGTTCCGTTACATGCTGCATCATGAATTAACTTTGAAAATAACATGCTAAGTGAAATAAATGAAACACAAAAGGATTGATACTCTTTGGTTGTACTTACATAAGATATCTAATGAGCAAATTCATAGAAAGATTAGAGGTTACTAAGGACTGAAGGGAGGAGAGAATAGGGAGTTACTGCTTAATTGTCACAGTTTCTCTTTGGAATAATGAATGTGTTTTGGAAGTAGTGGTATTGGTTGCAAAATATTATGAATGCACTTAATACAACTGAATTATACACCTAAAATGGTTAAAATGGCAAAAAAAAAATTTTATGTGTGTGTGTATATAGGTGTGTGTATACATATATACATATTATCACAATTTAGAATTTTTAAAAAATTTTAAATTTTGTTTCTTCCTTTAACAACACTATCATATAGTGACATATAAGGCATCTATATTTCCTAGCAGTAGAGTTTACTGATCACATTAAATCTTTGTCTACTGAGAGTTAGATTACTGACTCCCTATCTCATTTTAAATAACTTCTTACCAGGCCATATCAATCTCCTTATCTTTGCATCAGGCCATGTCAATCTCTTGAACTACTATTTGACCTACTTCTCTAAGAGTGTGGATTTGGACTCTAAATGTTACAAAATTTTAGGTTTCCATGATTTAAAGTATGAGGGCACAGTGTAGGCTGAATCTAGAACCTGGCTTGTTATTTATTCTCTGTAATAAAATTATAGAAATTTCAATTTGAAGCCTTTGAGCAAGATTTGCAAAATTATTTCAAGGCATAGTTAACTGGGGGTAATTCCTATTTAGAACAGTAAACAGATAAGAATAAAGACTTAAGACCATTGATTCTATGTTTTCTAAGCATATAAATTACCTTGCCCTTCTATTTCTAATTTCTTCTCTTGCATTTTTTATTCTAAGGAAAATTTAGTCCTAATTGATGGTTAAATACACTTTTGAATTTTGTACATTTACTCAGATATTTACAGTAAGTTTAAATTATGCTCTGCATGACAATAATATTTCCATTTATTGTAAGATGCTTTCTACATTATCCAGGTATTATTAAAACTTTTCGGTAAATAATTTTATTGGAAACCCAACATCATTCGGTGAGAATGTTTGTAATGTTAGAAACAGGTATGATCTTAAAGTAGCACTGTTAAATTAACATTCAACTAGAGGTACTAACATGGGCTTCCCAGGTGGCGCTAGTGGTAAAGAGGCTGCCTGCCAATGCAGGAGACACAGGAGACATGGGTTGAGTCCATGGGTTGGGAAGGTCCCTGGAGTAGGAAATGGCAATGCACTTTTCTGATTACCAGATGTACTAACTGTGCAGTTAGAAAAGTAGGGCATCTGTATTCATATTTGTGTGTGCATAAAAATACCTCTTGAAAGATACACAGTCTAATAACATTGAGTGTCTTTTTAGTGAGGGAGAAACTGGGTGTATATGAATCAACAGTGGGGAGGAAACCACTTCACTATATATTTTCTTACACTCTTTAATGTTTGTGCCAAATATTTCCTATTAACATTTTAAATACTTTGAATAAGTGTATCACATCTTGTTAAGTTTTAATTAGACTGTTTCATATTTGTTTTTATTTCTAAGTATTGTGCCCATGAACAGTTTTGACAGTTGTACAACATTGATCTTTAGTTACAAAATTCAGCACAAATTCACATAATAACCTGATTTTCTGTTTTTAGGTGAGTGTCCCCAAAATGAAACATAAGCCAGCCAGGCAACAGAAGAAAGTGGCAAAAGGCTATTCCTCTCCGGAGCCTGATGTCCAGGACTCATCTGGGAGTGAAGGTAAAAGTACTTACTGCAGACTACTGATTATAAAGAGTCTGAATTTTTAAAAGGATATTACTGTACTGTGATATATGAAAATGGTTTTTCATATTAACTCAAGAAGATTTGTAAATTTTGGTAGGGATAGGGATGATGTGCAAGAAAAGCTTTTTTAGATGATAGATAAATTTTAAAACCAGGCCACAAGGTAAAGTCGTAGAAAGGAAAAAAGGGGAAGCATGCAAATCAAGAACCACACAGTAGAAGTAGCTCCTGTGCCTTGTTAGCATCTGGAAAATTGTTGAGGGTTTCCTAGATTCAGCACAGGCTGAATTTCTTGAGTTTTGGGTTCAGTTCCATGCTTCCGAAGTTTTTCATTCTCATAGTAAATTACTGTGGTGTTTAGAAATCACAGACAAGTAGAAATATAACTATATCAAAATTATGAACTAAATTAACTAGTGTACCATTTCTAAGTCACATAATTTACAAGCTGTCTTGAACTACACTGAGATGTAATCAAAGATTAAGGTAATGTCTGAGACGTTATGAGAAAATAAAGTTTTTTAAAAGCCATAGTCTTTACTAAGCTTACACTAAGCTGGGGAACTCAGTTTTACAGAGATAATTCTAGAGATGAAGAAATGGTAAATGCTAAGAAATCAGTAAATAACAAATAGTAAAGAGTTTAAAGGAAAGGGAGCTGAATTCAGTTTGAGGAAAGGTTCTTAGAGGAAAGGAACCCTCATGAATTAATAGAGTTTTTAATGGATTATAGAAATCTAGGCTTGAGGGATGCAGGTGAGTAGACAAGATAAAAGAGTAGTAAAATGAATAAAGTTTTTCTAAAAGCAGGAGTCACATGGTACCATTGTGCTCAAAAGGAGAATATTGTTTATGCTGTTGTTCCCATTTCACAGTAAAGGAAACTGAGGCACAGGTTAACCTGCCCAAGGTCATATACCCTGCAAGGCAGTGTGTGTGTGTTATATATGCAGATATTCTGGCTCCTTAATTCATTGTCTTATCCATTCCACTGTATTGCCTACAATGTATCAGTAGCTAACATGGCCCAACTGGAGGTTTAAACACACATTACTACAACCATGTAAGTTTGAGTAGTAGTATTATCCCAAGTTTACAAATGAGATAGCTGAGACCTGGGGAGAGATTAAGATCTGAACAAAAGTGGGAAGGAAGAAATTGATACAAGAAGGGGTTAAAAAAATACCATACACTTTGTTGGTTGACAATAAAAATTTGTAGAAGAGATACTAAAACCAACAGAAAAGTTTTAAAATTTAGGTGACTAAGGGAATAAAGATAACATTAACAATTAATTTTAAAAAACTGAAAAGGGAGCCCAAAAAGCTGACTTCTCCATATGTATACAAGTAGGCAAGAGATAGAAGAGTAATACCTCCCCCAAATTAATATATGTATTTTTAAAGAAATATTTTTGTCCATTTTAATTGACAAAAAAATAAAACTCATTCAACCCAAAATTTAACTACTTTATGGTTACTTTTAATATATCTGAAGTGTTCTAGTTTTGAAATATGATTGAAACTTCAAAAATCCCAAGTATTAGGAGTAGTATGTTAGTCTCTAAACCATAAAAATAATGTCTAGGAAAATTTTTATTACATGAGAATCATTAATCTGAAATGTAAATTGTTTATAATTAAATATTTCCACTATTTTCACTGTGTTTATTCTCAATGTCTTTTTAGCTCAATCAGTAAAACCAAGTTCAAGAAGAAAGAAAGGGATAGAACTGGGAGACATTCAAACTTCAATTGAATCTATTAAACAAACACAGGAAGAAATTAAAAGGTAATCTATACTGACAGTGACTATTCATTTGAGTCTAGAGGAGTTAAAAATCCTGTTACGTAGGAAGTCATATGCAGACTTTACACTTTTATAACATTGCTAAGCTAAACTAAAACCCTGGCTTCTAACATCGATTACGGAAACATAGGAAATTCCTTTGGCACTAACGTACTGGGGGAGAGAGGGAGGTTGTTTTGTCTCATCTGCGAGGCTAGAATTGGAATCTCATCTGACTGCTGTAGCATACTAAGAATGTAGCTGAGTTAAATGTGGACATGGGATGGTTTTTGAGAAAGTCAAGGCTTCCACAGTTCTTTGTACATGGCTGTTTTTAATTGGAATACACCAATTGTTGAGATATTGAAATACTTTGATAACAGTGGGTGAGACCTTTTGAGTGTTCCCTTTGCATTTCCCCACACTCACCTCCCCATGATCCAGCACCGAAAGGTCATAACCCCTGGGGCAGTTCCTTGTAAGGGAAGGTTCCTATCCTGCTCTGTCACTCAGGCCAGCGCAAGTTCAGATTGGTTATATCCCATTGCTGTAACAGACGTTAAAAGTTTTTATATTAGCCAACCTGCTTTTGCTTATTCAGCACTGAGTGCTAGCTGTTCTGGAGGATTTTTTCAAAGATGTTTATTCTCTTCTTGGTGGTTTTACAGCTTATATTTCGTTGCTGTTTTCAGCCTCATCTCCCGCCATTCCTCTGCGCTGACCCTGTGCTCTGGTCCTGTGAAACTTCCCACATCTCCAGAATATAGCATGCCCTTTCATATAGGGGCTTCCCTGGTGGTTCAGACGGTAAAGAAGCTTCCTGCAATGCAGGAGACCTGGGTTTGATCCCCGAGTTGGGAAGATCCCCTGGAGAAGGGAATGGCAACCCACTCTAGTATTCTTGCCTGGAGAATTCCGTGGACAGAGGAACCTTGTGGGCTACAGTCCATGGGGTTGCTAAGAGTTGGACATGACTGAGTTAGTTAACACTTTTGTCTTTGGATCTTTACCCACGGTGAATCCACTTTTTAAACTGCCCTACCCTTCAAGAAAATCCCTGTTTATCCTTCAGAATACAGTTCAAATGCTACCCTTTTTGTAACATTTCTGATCACTATCCTCTGCGCCCCCAGAGTTTCTAACTCTCCCACTTGGCTTGTGTGGTTCCCATGAGTCTTTCCGAGTGCTTACTGTACTACAGACTTGTGCTAACCGTGTGTCTGTTCACCTTCTCCCACTCCACCCAACCGGACTGTGAGCTCTTCTAGAGCAGGGAGCATGTCTCCTGCACCTTGGTATCATCAGTCCTTAGATAAAGTGATCACATTTCCTAATTTAATTATATTTATAAATTAATGAGCCTACTTGTTCATTTTGCCTCCTTTCTTCTTCTATACTGGGAAAACACTTTAAAAGAAGTCATAAAAAGAAAATAACTTCACTAATCAGCTTGTTTTAGGCAAAGTAGAGTTGCACGAGGATAATGTAAGCTTGTATTGTGACTAAATTAACATTTTATTTTTGTTAGCATATGAAATGCTTACAGAGCATTCTTCAAGTTAGAAATATCATAAAATTTGGTTTTTTCCCGATATATAAAGGATTTTTCTCCATCTCTACCTTTGTCTCCCTAAAAATAAAGATAAAAGAACCTTAGTGGACCAACTGACAGGCAATATTTTAAAGTCTGCAAACTTTAAAAATTATGCTTGACATGTTTAGTCACTCAGTCATGTCCAACTCTTTGTAATCCTTTGCACTGTAGCCTACCTGGCTCCTCTGTCCATGGGATTTCCCACCCGAGAATACTGGGATGGGTTGCCATTTCCTTCTCCAGGACATCTTCCCCGACCCAGGGATCAAACCTGCATCTCCCGTGTCTCCTGCATTGCAGACAGACTTTTTACCCACTGAGTCATCAGGGAAGCCATGCTTAACACAGAGCATTAAGTCATACATTTGATGCAGTGTGCAGTACAGATTCAGGCAAAACCTGCTAGTGGTTCCACATAGCATAGTCAGCTCCCTGTTCAGGGGGTGGTAACTGTTTGAACTTTATACAGTTGAATTATGTGGCCATATAGCAAATTGTGATTTCTCTGCTATCATTTTTCATAAATAATTATTTATTGTTGCTTATTTTTGTAGAAATATTATGGCTCTTCGAAATCATTTAATTTCAAGCACTCCTGCCACGGATTATTTTCTTCAACAAAAAGACTACATCATCATTTTTCTCCTGATTTTGCTTCAAGTGATAATAAACTTCATGTTTAAGTAGAAGTCCTTTACAATTGAGTTAATGAACTGGAATGATCAGATTTGGCCTGGGACCAATGTTGAAGTTGGTTTGGTCTTTACTAAAACATCACAATATTTCTAAAACTGAAAACCTTAGAAATAAATGTAGAAGTGTTGACTTTTCATACCTTTTATCCTTAACCTGAAACAAGAGCTATTCTATTTGATTATTAAAGTGAACTGTGTGTTAAGTGCCAGAACGTTTCTAGCTTTTGTCAGAGTGTGTCTACATGTGAGTATAATAAATCCACATGTATACACAGTTGTATCTTATATATACCTTACAGTAATCTTTGTAGTCTATGGTATGTTCATGTAATGAAATATATAGCATTAATGTCAGTCATAACAAAAATGCTATCAATCTTATATATGTAACAATCTATTTTCTTCATAAAACAGGCACAAAACTTTTGTCAGTAAGGAATTACAGATGGGAAATAATGGGATAATAAGCATAAATAGTCCAACACACTGTACTGTTAAAAAAAAATCATTTCCAAAGTATTCAGCTCACCTGTCTTCTTAAAAACAGAAAACAAACAAAAAAAATGTGGTCAAATTGAGACAAAGTGGCAAATTGCTTTTTTCAAAAGTTTACACAAAATTTTTTTAATCCCTAGAATTTAATATTTATAGATACAAGTATAAATATATATATATGTGTATATCAACAGCAGAAAACTGGTATGCAGCTACTTGGATCTATTGATTCTATCTTTCTTATTGTACCTATATAATACCCACTTAAGCACTTGCTGGAAAAAAGTGTGGTCAAACTTGATTGCTGTCCTTTTTTCTTATTTTTTTAAACTCAGTTGGTCCAGTAACATAGGCTAAATTCTAGAGATGTTTGTAGGGCATATAAAATGCTGATAATCATGATTTTTCATTATGAAAACCTTTCTTTAGTTTTCATTTAGATTCTGGTGTGTTCAGTGAAACAGTAGAATAGGAAAAAATACATATATATATATATATATATATATATAACCAATATTTTACTTCAAAAGCCAAATAAGAGAAGAGTGATAAGAAAAGACACTTAGTGTGGTGGTAATTATGCATTTTAAAATTGGTTTCTTTAAAATGTGCAATAAGTTGAGCATCTGAGTTCTGAAGTTTAATTCTCTGTTCTCCTCTGCTCTCAGTAACTGCAGTCTGTGGCAAAACCACAGTTCCTCAAGGTTCCTTTTGTTCAGGCTCAGGCAAACATTTTCCCTAAATTTTTTTTCAGTTTAATATTTTTACTTTATGTATCTTAGAATTCCAAAAGTAGATTTTGAAATGAAAATGAAGGTCGGAGAGGAAATAATTGCTCTGGCTACATTTGCCCTTGACTAAGAAGAGACTGTGAGACATGAGTAAAGTAATAATCAAATGTTTATGCCATGATAAGTATACAATAAAGGGATGATTACTAAATTACTGAGAACTGGAAATGGTAGGAAGAGCCTGCTTTGTTCTTCCTGACCAATAGAGTGATCTTTAGTCTCCTTAGGTTTGATGAGGAGCCATTTCTCATGCATTTTTGGCAAAACAATAATTGTGAAAATGTTTTTTAAATAGATTATACATAAATAAGATATACCTATACCCAGTATAAGCATAGGTATGACTACGCTAGAACAGGTGGGGTTTTTGTTTGTATTTCATACTTGTTGATATCATTTTTGTACTCACTGTTACCAATATTATGCTCAACTGCCTATTCATTAATATATATTTTGTAAATATTGTACAACTTGATCCTTTTTTATGGCTTAAATTAGAATTAATTTATACACATTGATTGGCTAATCGCAAAAATAATTTCATCTTTAAACCCTGAAAACTGAGGTTTTTTTGTTGGTAACTCCCTTTTGGGGCTTTAGGCTTGTCTACTTGTATGATACTCTCATTTGGTCTTAGTGTTTTATTTGTATGGTTATCCTCTAAGACTAGAGAGGGAGTTGTTTTCTTTATTTTTAAAACTTTCTTGTTAGGGTAAATGTTATGGGTTCTTATTATCCCAGGAGTCAAAAACTATTTCATGAGAAAGAGCAGGGTTACTCATGCTGTTTCTTATACACTAAAAGCATGTGTCTTAATAGTCTTACGCTTTTATGTGAGTTCCTTTCTGTGAACTGAACGCAAAACTCAGGAGTTGGTGGCTTAGTTTTACATCGGTTCTTGCACTAGGCTTAGTATGTGAATCCTTTAGAACACATAATGAACTTTGTATTTCGCCTTATATGTAGTTGACTTTGAATGTTTTCCACCTGCGATTAATCTTCCTTCACACATGGACTCATAAAAATTATGATTTACAGTTCCCAGTTATCTGAGACTCTCATGATGGTTTCTAGGATTTAAGACCTATAACCAGTTTTTTTTCTTTTTTTCATTTGATCAAAAATTTTATTTTTTCACTGGAAAATTTAAATAAGTAATAGTTATTGACATGTGCATTTTTGTTTTAGTTATTAAATATACTATGCCTTCAGTTATCTACCATTTAATGAGATGTAGCTGGCCTAAGAAAAGACAATAGGGTGTCTGATATAAGCAAGTTTCAGCGGTAGATATTTCATTTGTATTTCATATCACTACTTTTTTTGTATTACTTATAAAGGTACAGTGTAATTTTTGTTACCATTCCATTGAAAAAGTTGGCCTTGTAAAATACAACTCTCATTTAGTATTCACGCTTTTGTGCCTTTAAGAAAATAATTTTGTCATTTTTGTGTTACAGAACCGTAATATGATTCAAAGTGTTTATAGGCTTAATTGTCATAAAAGGGTCATTTCTCTGTGTCACTTTATTTCCTTTTATATAGCTATAGTATATTTAAACAGTAATGCTGTACTTTTATAAGGGTTTGTCCATTTACCCATCTCAAATATATTCTTCACTTTCAGACATCACTGAAGTAGACTTGTCAAATTATTCTGAGTATTGTTAAACAGTGCCTTTTCGATGGAATTCCTGTTTTAGGGTGTCAGCTTGTGCCATATATACACAAAATTATGTGGAGAAGGCAGTTTTACCTTTTTGAAGAATATCTTGGTCAAATATTTTAAGAAAACAAATATATAAAATTCCATTTTTTCCAGTGTTTCGCATTTCTAGTTAACAGTGAATATATTTGGGGTTTTTTTGTTTGACATACAGTGATAAATGACATTTGATGAGCCATACATGACGCTGAAGATTATTTTGAATTATGTTAAATGCACAGAAATATTAAAATTAGCATTTATACCAAATTTTCCAATTTGCACCATAGCTGAGAGGGGAGGAATCCCACACAGATCACTAAGTTTACATTTGAACTTCTGTCTTATTTGACTGTGTGGAAAAAGAGATTCTTTAACCTGTATAACTTGCCACTGTTATGTAATTTGGTTTTATTTTGTTTACCTATAGTGTGAATTTAGTATATTTAATTTACTTTTTGTTACTCTTAACATGCTGTTTGTTTTGTTACAGTTTTAATTGAAGATGGACTGTTAAAATTGTATAGGACCAGTGTCTCCTTAATGTGATTAACATATTTAGAAGAGCCACAAGAAACCCGTGACAAAATGAATGTGAATATACTTTCTAAAATATTTAGAAAATTTTCTTTCTGAATTTATCATGAAAAATTATTTGAGAGTTAAAATAATAAATTTAAAGAAAAAAATGTCATGAAATATTTGAACTGATGAGCCACACAACTTCAGTTGTAATTTTTTACTTTTTAGCATGTTAACTATACATCTAAGTTAAATATCCTGTTTAATGATGATTTATAAATTCAAACACTGGTCAGTTTTGTAAAACAGAATAAAAGTATGTTATCTGCAGTGTAAGTACAGCACACTGTCAATTTCTTTTCCTTAAGGTGCATAGTAAATGTACAGATAGTCATAGGCAACTGTTTTGTAATGTATTACATTTCTAATCTGTTACTCCTAACCTATTATAAATGTTTGCAGAGACAAAAGAACTGAATTTTTCTAATAATCTGTAAAATGATGCTAACTTCAAGTAGGCATTCTAAATAAAATTTTAAAAAAGAGCAAACTGATCAAATGACTTTTATTATAACATGGTGACAAAATTACTTAAGGTTTTAGTTAAGTCATTTGGGGGGTAGTTGTGAAGGATGGTGAAGGGATTTAACAGCTAGAGTCTCTAATGTATGCTTTACATGATGTTTTACATTCATTCTTCATGAATACCCATAACCTTCAAATAAGTGGAATTTAGATTTGAGAGATGAAGAGGCTCAGAGAAGTTAAATAATTCTGAAAGCTACATACTAATAGTGATAGCAAGCCCAAGTTTGAATCCATGTCTGGCTTCAATGTCCATTCTCTTTCCACTGTACACTTAAATAGAACTCTGATCAAAGCACTTTACTTTTAAATGTTTGTAATAATCCATTGCTCAAATCAAATAGCCCCTTTGTGATGGATAAGGAAAAAAACCTTGCTATCCTTCAGTTCAGTTAAGTCGCTCAGTTGTGTCCGACTCTTTGCGACCCCATGAATTGCAGCACGCCAGGCCTCCCTGTCCATCACCAACTACTGGAGTCCACCCAAACCCATGTCCATTGAGTTGGTGATGCCATCCAACCATCTCATCCTCTGTCGTCCCCTTTTCCTGCCTTCAATCTTTCCCAGCATCAGGGTCTTTTCAAATGAGTCAGTTCTTCGCATCAGGTGGTCAAAGTATTGGAGTTTCAGCTTCAACATCAGTCCTTCAAATGAACACCCAGGACTGATCTCCTTTACGATGGACTGGTTGGACCTCCTTGCAGTCCAAGGGACTCTCAAGAGTCTTCTCCAATGCCGAAATTCAAAAGCATCAATTTTTCAGTGCTCAGCTTTCTTTAGAGTCCAACTCACATGCATACTACTGGAAAAACCATAGCTTTGACTAGACGGACCTTTGTTGGCAAAGTAATGTCTCTGCTTTTTAATATGCTGTCTAGGTTGGTCATAACTTTCCTTCTAAGGAGTAAGAGTCTTTTAATTTCATGGCTGCAGTCATCATCTGTAGTGATTTTGGAGCCCCCCCAAAGTAAAGTCAGCCACTGTTTCCACTGTTTCCCCATCTATTTGTCATGAAGTGATGGAACTGGATGCCATGATCTTTGTTTTCTGAATGTTGAGCTTTAAGCCAACTTTTTCACTCTCCTCTTTTGCTTTCATCAAGAGGCTCTTTAGTTCCTCTTCACTTTCTGCCATAAGGGTGGTGTCATCTGCATATCTGAGGTTATTGATCTTTCTCCCAGCAATCCTGATTGCAGCTTGTGCTTCATCCAGCCCAACGTTTCATGATGTACTCTGTATATAAGTTAAATAAGCAGGGTCACAATATACAGCCTTGACATACTCCTTTTCCTATTTGGAACCAGTCTGTTGTTCCATGTCCGGTTCTAACTGTTGCTTCCTGACCTGCATGCAGATTTCTCAAGAGGCAGGTCTGGTGGTCTGGTATTCCCATCTCTTTCAGAATTCCCCACAGTTTATTGTGATCCACACAGTCAAAGGCTTTAGTATAATCAGTAAAGCAGAAATAGATGTTTTTCTGGAACTTTTTTTTCCGATGATCCAGCAGATGTTGGCAATTTGATTTCTGGTTCCTCTGCCTTTTCCAAAACCAGCTTGAACATCTGGAAGTTCACAGTTCACATATTGAGGAAGCCTGGCTTGGAGAATTTTGAGCATTACTTTACTAGTGTGTGAGATGAGTGCAATTGTGCAGTAGTTTGAGCATTCTTTTGCATTGCCTTTCTTTGGGATTGGAATGAAAACTGACCTTTTCCAGTCCTGTGGCCACTGCTGAGTTTTCCAAATTTGCTGGCATATTGAGTGCAGCACTTACAGAGCAGCATCTTTTAGGATTTGAAATAGCTCAGCTGGAATTCCATCACCTCCACTAGCTTTGTTCATAGTGATGCTTCCTAAGGCCCACTTGACTTCACATTCCAGGATGTATGGCTCTGGGTGAGTGATCACACCATCGTGATTATCTGGATCATGAAGATCTTTTTTGTATAGTTCTTCTGTGTATCCTTGCCACCTCTTCTTAATATCTTCTGCTTCTTTTAGGTCCATACCATTTCTGTCCTTTTTTGAGCCTATCTTTGCATGAAATGTTCCCTTGGTGTCTCTAATTTTCTTGAAGAGATCTCTAGTCTTTCCCATTCTGTTGTTTTCCTTTATTTCTTTGCATTGATCACTGAGGAAGGCTTTCTTATCTCTCTTTGCTATTCTTTGGAACTCTGCATTCAAATGGACATATCTTTCCTTTTCTCCTTTGCTTTTCACTTCTCTTCATTTCACAGCTATTTGTAAGGGCTCCTCAGACAGCCATTTTGGCTTCTTGCATTTCTTCTTCTTGGGGATGGCCTTGATCCCTGTCCCCTGTACAATGTCACAAACCTCCGTCCATAGTTCATCAGGCTCTCTATCAGATCTAGTCCCTTAAATCTATTTCTCACTTCCACTATATAATTGTAAGAGATTTAAGTCATACCTGAATGGTCTAGTGGTTTTCCCTACTTTCTTCAATTTAAGTCTGAATTCGGCAATAAGGAGTTCATGATCTAAGCCACAGTCAGCTCCCGGTCTTGTTTTGGCTGACTGTATAGAGCTTCTCCATCTTTGACTGCAAAGAGTATAATCAATCTGATTTTGGTGTTGGCCATCTGGTGATGTCCATGTGTAGAGTCTTCTCTTGTGTTGTTGGAAGAGGGGTTTGTTAGGACCAGTGAGGTCTCTTGGCAGAACTCTATTAGCCTTTGCCTTGCTCATTCTGTACTCCAAGGCCAAATCTGCCTGTTACTCCAGGTGTTTCTTGCCTTCCTGCTTTTGTATTCCAGTCCCCTATAATGTAAAGGACATCTTTTCTGGGTATTAGTTCTAAAAGGTCTTGTAGGTCTTTTTAGAACCATTCAATTTCAGCTTCTTCAGTGTTACTGGTCAGGGCATAGACTTTGATTACCATGATATTGAATGGCTTGCTAACATAGTTCAGTTCAGTTCAGTCACTCAGTCGTGTCCAATGAATTGCAGCACGCCAGGCCTCCCTGTCCATCACCAACTCCTGGAGTTGACTCAAACTCAAGCCCATTGAGTCGGTGATGCCATCCAGCCATCTCATCCTCTGTCATCCCCTCCTCCTCCTGCCCCCGATCCCTCCCAGCATCAGGATCTTTTCCAATGAGTCAACTCTTCGCATGAGGTGGCCAAAGTACTGGAGTTTCAGCTTCAGCATCAGTCCTTCCAATGAACACCCAGGACTGATCTCCTTTAGGATGGACTGGTTTGATCTCCTTGCAGTCCAAGGGACTCTCAAGAGTCTTCTCCAATGCCGCAGTTCAAAAGCATCAATTTTTCGGCGCTCAGCTTTCTTCACAGTCCAACTGTCACATCCATACATGACCACTGGAAAAACCATAGCTTTGACTAGACGGACCTTTGTTGGCAAAGTAATGTCTCTGCTTTTTAATATGCTATCTAGGTTGGTCATAACTTTCCTTCCAAGGAGTAAGCATCTTTTAATTTCATGGCTGCAATGACCATCTGCAGTGATTTTGGAGCCCAAAATAATAAAGTCTGACATAAGCATATATCAAAACTCACATGAAAATGTTTTCCCCCCAACAAATCATCTATTAGTCCCAACTGAGTCAACATCAACATCACATATGTTACAAGAAATCATTCCTCTAGTTTTCCTCCATCATCCTCCAAACCTGTATTTGCTCCCCTCAGTTGCTTCTGGCTAAGAGCAAGTTGGTTTTGTCTTACTGTGGGGAATGGGAGGGCTTACAGGTGTCTCCTGTCCTATACTAGGAGTAAAGGCTAGGGAAAACAGCCCCTCACTGTTCAAGCTCAATGAAATACCTACAAGGTAATTTTACTGATGTTGACCAAACTCTTATAGTTGTATTGGGTTGAAAATTCTTTTGAACCTTACAAAATATCCCTTTCTTGTGGAAATAGTGGGTCCCTACACTGGAGACCCTGATGCTGGGAGGGATTGGGGGCAGGAGAAAGGGACAACAGAGGATGAGATGGCTGGATGGCATCACCAACTCGATAGACATGAGTTTGAGTAAACTCCAGGAGTTGGTGATGGACAGGGAGGCCTGGTGTGCTGCGATTCATGGGGTCGCAAACAGTCAGATACGACTGAGTGACTGAACTGAACTGAATACCAGTGACAAGTGACAGTCATTTGTTGAGATGTTGTATTTGTTGAGTGCTTAGTATGTATGACACCCTGTGCCGAAAAAAAAAAAAAAATCCACAGCTTTCTAAACACTGTCCACTGTCGCACTGAAAACTTTTTTTACATATCACCATTTTTTCCTCTACAATGAGGAAAGTGGAGACAAAAGAATGTCACAGATACGTAAATGGCACAGCAAACCCAGGTAAACCTTAAGCCCATGCTCTTTACCATTTCATCCTTAAGACAGAAGGGTGTGTGTCTTAACGTAAGAAACAGTATGTTCTTTCTGCTTAACAGTAGTTTTTTTTTTTTTTCCTGCCATTGGATTGTGTGCAATAATCCTGGGTCACTGTTTTGAAAGCATGCTATTGATTACCAATAAGTCTTCACATCTATCGCCTCTGCTAAAGAAAAAGAAAATTGCGGTGGTGAGGATTTCATGTTGTTGATACTTAAGCCCAGGAATGTGGCAAAGCCACCTGCAGAAAGCATGGAGCCTGCAGCTCGTGACCGTGGCCAGGCCCTCCTCATCTGGCCTGCATCGCGAAAGAAAACCGCTGGTGCAGAATGTGGACAGGATGTGCACAAGTTCAAGGCAGAGGTTTGGGAACGAATTTTTCACGGCAGTGGGAACGAACCGAATTCTAGCCGCAGCGCCCAGTTCCTCCACTATCGTGCCGAACTCCTCGGGGACGAAGGGATTTGGTGGCAGCTGAAGCCTCCAAGAAAGAAATGAATTCACCCAGTGAGCTGGGGAAGGGCTTTCAGCTTCCTCTCCAGAGGCAGCTCCCGAGAAGCCCCGACGTGTTTTCTACCTTCGCGGGCTTTTGGACCGCTAGCTCTACTGGCCTGCCGGTGCGGCCATTTCCGGTGGACGGGCAGGACGGCCGACCCTCGGCCAACCAAGAAGCCTAGTTGCCCCGACTTCCGGTGTTCTACCCGCCTCTTCCGCTTCCGGCGGTACCCATATCTGTTCCTTCCCGGGAATCCTGGTTTTCTGCAAGCGGCGTGCGTAGGCCCCTGGAACCTGAAGGTCTATGGCCGCTGCGGGGTCTGTGACGGTGGCGTTGCATGTGGCGGAAGTGCTAGAAACCATCGTGAGCGGTTGCTTGGGGCCCGAAGGGCGGCAAGTTCTGTGTACCAAGCCCACTGGCGAGGTGCTGCTCAGCCGGGATGGAGGCCGCCTGTTGAAGGCGCTACATTTAGAGCATCCCGTAGCCAGGTACCCGCGACGCACGCTCCAGCCGGTTAGGGCATCCCTTAATTAGGTACTCACGTCCCACACTCCAGATGGACACCTAACGTCATCTCTCTGGACTTCTTGTCCGTAAGGTTTTGCTCTTTGGGAAAACTGACCTTTCCCCTCTCGCCCAGCCAGTAGGAGCTAGAAGTCCAATAGCCCGCGAAGATGGAAAAAGAGGTTGGGAGCTCTCGGGAGCTGTCCCTGGAGAAAACTGACCTTGGATGAGACCAGTGTACGCTCAGAGTTAGAGCGCCGTCCTAGGGAACATTCCACAACTGAAGACATTTCTCTTTTCCTTCTAGCTCGACTCAACCCTAGAAATTTGAAATAGAACAAAAGTGGTTCTGTTGTTTTTCCTTTTTAATTAACAGAAACCATTCAGCCTATTTTTAAGTAAATTTTAAAGAGGAAAAAACAGACTAAGGACATCAAGGAGATAGTATTCTCGTTTTATAGATGTGAAAACATGCTTTCAACTTGATTCAGATGCGGAAAGTCGGCTCTCTGAAAATCTAAGCTGCTTGCTTTCTTTCTTGTGCAGGGTGATGGTGGCCTGTGTTTCCAGTCATCTGAGAAAAACAGGAGATGGTGCTAAAACATTTATTATCTTTCTTTGTCATTTACTCAGAGGACTTCGGGAGATCACAGACAAGGAAAAGGATTATTTCCTTTTTGAAAATATTCAAACCTGTGGAAGGCATTGGAAAAATTGCTGTCAATGGAAATTTATTTCCCAAGCTCTTCTAACATTTCAGACACAAATATTAGACTACATTATGGACCTTTACTTAAGTAGACACTTCTTGTCCATCTTTTCTTCATGCAGTAAAGAAAGAACATTGTGTAGGAGCTCTTTAGAGATGCTCTTAGGGGCATACTTTTGTGGAAGAGTGGGAAGAAATAATCACAACTTAATATCTCAGTTGATGTGTGACTATGTTTTCAAGTGTACAGCTTGTGAAAGTAGGTTTGAAGAAGTACTTGAGATAGTGGATGACTGTTTTGGTGAGTTGAAAGTTGGTGTCACTGGCCTCCCTGTTTCTGATTCCAGGATCATAGCTGGGCTTGTGCTTCAGAGAGACTTTTCTGTGTACTGTCCAGCAGATGGTGACATAAGAATAGCGATAGTAACAGAAACCATTCAGCCTCTTTTTTCAGTTTCTGGATCAGAGTTTATTCTAAATTCAGAAGCACAGTTTCAGACATCTCAGCTTTGGATTACAGAAAGAACAAAAGCAATAGTGAAACATTTACAGAGTCAGAATGTAAAATTACTCCTATCTACTGTGAAACAACCAGACTTAGTAATTTATTGTGCAGGACTGAATGGCATATCTGTGGTGGAGTGTTTATCACATGAAGAACTTTCTCTTATCCAGAGAGTCATTGGTCTTGCTCCCTTTGCACTACCAGAGGCCTCTTCTCAGTATGAACTCTCGCACACTGCTTTGGTGAAATTCTGTAAACCCCTCATTCTTAGATCCAAAAGGTATGTTCATCTTGGCTTGGTGAGCACCTGTTCGTTTACACCGCACTGTGTAATTCTTTGTGGACCCGTGCAGGGTCTCATCGAACAACACGAGGATGCTTTACATGGAGCATTTAAAATGCTTCGGCAGGTATTTAAAGACCTTGATCTAAATTATGTGACACAAACCAGTGACCAAAATTGTACATCAGGTCCTCGTATATATGAGAATAGTAGAGAAAATAATGAGTTACCAAAAATTGTTAACAGCTCAATACAAAGGTCGTATCAGGACACTGTTGTAAAGAACAAAGGTGAACTGGCAAAAACTCAAACGAATTTAAAAGTATGTTCAAATTTGATAGTTCCAAATGTCAAATTAGAGAAAACTGTATTGTGTTCAGCACCAAAAGTGGCAGTAACAGATTCATACCAGACAGAAGAAACATTGAGATGTTCATCCCCAAACAAAGGGACGATAATGGATGACCATGAACCATATATTGAGAGTAATTCTGCTAACTCAACAACAGAAAATACTAGAAGAGAAATTTCTTACGAAAATTTACAGGTTACAAAACTTGCTAGAAAGGACAGCATGTTACCACTGAGATATAAGTCACTAGAGATGTGTTCTTCCCAAAGTTACTATTTCTCATCTATACCAGCTGGTTGTGTTTTGCCTGTGGGTGGTAATTTTGAGATCTTATTGCATTACTATCTTCTCAACTATGCCAAAAAATGCCAGCAATCAGAGCAAACCATGGTTAGTAGGATAATAGCTAATGCACTTCTAGGCGTTCCCAAAATCTTGTATAAGTCTAAGAAAGGAAATTACAGCTTTCCTCAAGTATATGTAAGAGCTCTCCAGGCACTACAAACCAATCAACCCATGATAAGCAACCAGACAGGTTTGGAATCAGTTGCTGGTAAATACCAGTTACTAACTTCAGTTCTTCAGTGCTTGACAAACATTTTGACTGTTGACTTAGTAATCCATATTGAGAGACAACCTCAGGAAATTTATGATCAAGATTCAGAAGAGGAGCTATAAAATTGGAAGCTTTTTATTAATCAGAGTTTTAATCCAACTCAAGCCATAAAACAAGGCAGGCATGTGACCACTGATTTTCAAGTTAATTCAACCTAGTTAGGAAAATAGAACTTTAAAGTCTTTAGAGATACGTGAGGGCACCAGACATTCAGATATGAATATTGTAGATTGCATTCATTATGGAACAGTTCTGAGGAGGAAGCCTGGATGAGTGAAGCCAAGGTCTGAGTAAGTGGATCTTTTTTTCACCTCGGTGTCCCTTGTCTCAGCTCTGAATTAGTCTGTGATTTGGGGGGAAGGTGTTTTCTTATAGCTCCCTTTTACTTTTCTGCATTGTTTTTCACTCTTCTTTCCTTCTGCCTTGCCTTTCTGTAGTTAGTTAATAGAATAATCTCAGATTTGGATGAAGTCTTCAAATGCCATCCAACTTTAGTTGTTCATAAAACATTATTTGCTTTATTGAAAATAATTTATTTTCCCTACTCATAATTTCTGTACCAAAAGTCTCATTCTTTTTTCTCAAACAGTATATAAGTAAAATTATTTTTTACTGTAATTGTCCCCTTATTTAGAGCCTGGATAGATTTTTTTCACCATTCATGCACCATTGAATATGTTACCATAAATAGGATTTCGTGGATTGTATTTATTTTCATTTCTTTAGTTGAAATAATTCCAAAAAGAACATGAAAATCATACTATCGTTTTCTCCTGTTCTCTAAGAGCTTGCAAGATAGTTCATGTATCTGTTGGGTTTTCTTGTATTTGATGCATAGCCATAGTTCAGTAGTAACAAATAATTTGAGGGTTACAGTTGGCTGTCTGATCTGTGGGTTGTACATCAATGGATTCAACCAACTGTGGATTGAAAATATTTAGGAAAAAAATTTACAGAAAGTTCCTAAAAGCATAACTTTAATTTGCCAGGTACACTGGCAACTATTTGCATAGTATTTACATTGTATTAGGTATTATAAGTAATCTAGAGATGATTTAAAGTACAAAGACTATGTGAATAGCTTATATGCAAATGCTGTGCCATTTTTTTATAAGAGACCTGAACATCCACAGATTTTAGTGTCTGCTGGGGGGCGGGGCCGGGGGTGTGTTCTGGAACCAATCCCCCTTAGATACTGAGAGACTGCTATATTTATGTCTAATATGAATTTTTTAATGTTTATGTTTTAAAGGTTTATAAATGCAAATAGTACTGTGATTCTGGCTGTGAATAAGGGCAGTATCTTCTAATTTTGGTAGTTCTCTGTAACACCCTAGGCAATACTGTGTTCATACCGAGTTTTCAGAAGGGCTTGTTGAATAAAACTGTTTTCTTTAATCTGTTCTAATTATGTGTTTCCTGTTTACTAATTCAACAAATTCTTCTTGAGTGCTTACTATGCCAGATGCTGAATATACCATGGTAAACAAATAGATATGGTTCCTACCTTCAGGCAGTTTTCCGTAAAGGTTAATGTGTAGTGGATAGTGACACCACTTGGACTGAAATAAAATTTGGGAAAACCAATTTTTAAAATTTTATTACAGTTAAACTTGAAAAAGCAATGACTGACAGTGTATTCAAAGACTGTAATGTCCCATGCTCAGTTGGGCAGCACACATACTAAAATTTGAACAGTAAGAAGATTAGCGTGACCTTTGCACAAGGATGACACACAAAAAATGTTCCATCATTGCAAATCTTTTATATTAAATAAAATTTTATTTTTGTAAGGTTTATGTTATATGAAAGTGAAAGTGTTAGTTGCTCAGTTGTGTCTGGCTCTTTGAGACCCCATGGACTGTAGCCTGCCAGGCTCCTCTGTCCATGGAATTCTCCAGGCTAGAATACTGGAATGAGTAGCTATTCCCTTCTCCAGGGGATCTTCCTGACCCAGGGATCGAACCAGGTCTGCATTGCAGGAAGATTCTTCACCATCTTAGCCTACCGTCTGAGCCAAGCCACTCTGGACCTCTTATGTCATATGTGGTAACACTATTTCACTTCTGTGATTATGGAGAGAATGTATTATTTCTCTTTCTTATACTAAATCCATAGATATATAGATGTACTGTAAAATTATTGTATCATTTTTTTCATTCACTTTTTAAAATTGCCTGTCAGGTCACTTGATAACTTTGCTTTATTTTGCTGCTGTTGTTTTAAATACTTCTCCATCAGTGAAGGCATTCAGAGGCTTTTCCGTGCGTGCCCATGCCTTTCATCTGGTAGGCGTTGATAGCGATTAATAGTCACTGGCCCAGGAGCCCCTGTGTAAGCTGGGAGTGGGTCTTCTGTGTTTGGAACCTAATCTAACATCTGCCACAGAGTAGTAGCCAAAAATGTCTGTTGAGGAGCTCTGGTCCACATAGATGTGGTCCTAATTATTTCTATCAAGCTTTCATGGCAAAGAATCTGCAGGGGAAAGAAGCAGAAAATGTAGAACAGGTCTATACAAAGCAATCTTTTTTCTTTTCATTAAAAACATCCTCAAAAATGGTGATAAAGCTTTCATGGGTCATCCTTGTTCTTTGCAGAATAACACTAGGGAATTCACATTACTGAGTTAGATAAAAGAGCATTTCTAAAACTGTGGTTACGTTATACTTAAACCCACTTCCACAAAGGGTTTGAGCTGATCTGCAACAAAAATAAATAAAATTAAAGTAAAATCTGAATAAAAATTAAAGAAGACCAAAGAAAATGTAAAGATGATTAAAGTCGAGACCATGTTCCTGTTTTTATTGCTGCATGATGAATATTTTTATTCACTCAAAAATTTTATTCAAATTTTACTTGATTTGAATCACTGTATCATTACCTGTCACGGCTCTGAGAGCTGCCTGAATTTAGCTGGACAAGTTTCACTGTATTCTGTTGGTTGAGGCAGCCATAAAGGTCAGCTGAAATTCAACGGGAGGGAACACAGGCCCCGCCACTCAATGGGGAATGTTGATGTCACCTTAAAAGAAGAGCATGTGGGATGAGATGGGTTGAGGCAACTATCTTTGGAAAACAGAATATGCTAAACCATAGGAGAGAAAAGCTTCTCAACTGAGGTTTTTATTTTCTGTAGTTATTGTTTTTTTGTTTGTTTCTGTAGTTATATGTCAGTCTACCTTCCACAAACACATTTTTCCCAGTAACTTTTATGAACCCCTTATTTTTTTCTCATTGGGCCAGCACAAGCCATTTTTATTCCCAAAACAATAGGCATTAAATAGTTGAACATCCTTCAGTTGCTTTAGCCAAAGAGTTGTTTAACCATGTTACACTGGAAGTGTTATCCATGTTTTAGACTAAAACGGGAAGGGAAGAGTTCAATTTGAGCCTGAACTTTTATCAGCAATTACTCATTCCCTTCCAAAAGGAATAGTATATGTTTTTCCCATCATGACAGCAAAGCAGGGAAAAGAAAAACTGCTGTTTGGCGTGGGGGCGGGGGGGTGGGGGGCCCTAGGCTGGAGCTTTGTAAATAGCAGGAGATTGGTAGCAGCCCTCCTGGCTCAGACAGTAAAGAATCTGCCTGCAATGCAGGAGACCCAGGTTTGATATCTGGGTCGGGAAAATACCCTGAAGAAAGGAATGGCTACCCACTCCAATATTCTTGCCTGGAGAATTCCATAGGAAGAGGAGCCAGGCAGGCTGCAATCTATGGGGTCTCAAAAAGTCGACACAACTGAGTAATAAGAACACATACAAATCTAGATGGATCCACAAATAAATGGTGGGACAGTGACTGGAGGGGCAAGCATGCATAGGGCAGAGCTGATTTCTCAGTGTATACCTTACGGCGTTTTGATTTTTGAGCCATTTGAATGCTACTTACTCACATGAAATAAAATTTTAAAAAGTAAATTTAGAGCACACACATATAGAATGCCCCTTAAATAGCTACTAAAATAAGGATCCTGATCTAAGGAAATGCAAGATTATGATGGAAGAAGAAGAATGTGAGATACACACTAATGGATCAGTGCTTTTACAGCAAAAAAAAAGATAACAGTCAAAAAGGGCAATATTCTCTTAGCCATAACTGGGCAGCGGTTTTTGCAACAATTCTGGAAGCATTCTTCCTCAGGAGGTTACTCTGAGCCAAAGAAGTGCCGACAAGCAGTGTGGCATTCACTTCCTCGGAGAATTTCCAGTCCTGTGTATGGCTCCTTATGTAGACTCACCATCAGATTTTGTCAGCCTGCTGAGAATGGCTCTGTCTCAGGGACTGAATCTAACCACACTTGTGAGTGTGACCAATTTATTTACATTAAGAACTGTCCCAGGAACGAGATTATTCCAAGTCCATCTGACCAGTCGGACCTATATGTGGGAAGTCAAGTAATAATCATGTGGTTGCTCAATAAGCATGGAATCAGAACAGGAGAAGTCAAATTAACAGCGTGAGCCCGCTCCCAGCCAGTGATGCTCCAGTTCCCCAGTGCCCAGCCGTGGCCTTCACCTGCACTTGCTTCTGTAGGTTCCATTTAGTTCTGTAACGTGGGTGCCACCACATGCCAATGATTCCAAACTTTGTGTTTCCAGCCAAACTCTTCCCTCGACTCCCAGCCCAGGCTCCACAGGGACGCTCACCCTTAACATGTCCAAAGCAGGATGACTGCCTCACGTTCTCCAAACCTGCTGCTTCCTTTGCTGCCGCATCACAGCTAGTGGCATCACCAGTCTCCCTCTCAGTCAGAGCAAAAACCTGGAGCCGTTTTGACTCCAGTCTTACCTTCACATCCTGCAGCCAACCAGCAGGTCCCACTGCCCCACAGATGAAGTAGATTTCAAATCTGCCCGATTCTCAGGATTGTCTTTCCAGCCTCCAGTCACTTCATCTCGCCTGCAGTAGCTTCCTAATGGTCTTGCTTCTAGACCTTGCATTTTATCCTGCACTGATTTCCCTACCCCCAACTTTTTAATGTCAAAAATTTTAACTCCACAAAAAAAGATAAAAGAGCACGACACCCACAAACCCTACATCAGAATTCACCATTACCATTTA